TGGGCGGCTACAAAAGGAGGGATGCTTTTATTTATTCCGCAATGGTTGGGAGGTAATTTTATATCTTGTCATTTAAATTTTTTTTTTTCTTTTTTGGCTCAATTCAATTTATTTCAATTTTTATTATTTATTATTTGTATTTATTTTGTAATTCTTCATAAAATTTAATTAAATTGTTGTTACAAGAGTGATAACTGTTAAGGTTATAAAATATTTTCAAAACCTTGAAATCATATAATCTACATTTGTTATATATGGCATCATATTATATAAGCAATTCATACTCATATATTTTAATTAAAATGGAGATATATAAATGTTTTAGTGATTTGATAAGCAGTTCTCAATAAATCATTGAAAGTACTGAAATGTGAACTATGATATTGATGATAGTTTGCATATGATAAGTAATCATTTTTCTACAGGTTGCCGAATCATTTGCTGCTGAATACAAAGATAAATTACCGAATATGATACGTGAATATGAGTTAGTATCAAATAAATGTGGTGTTATCGATTTATCTTGGCGTGGCAAAATTGAAGTTCTCTTTCCTTTTCTTTTTGTTTATTAATTAACTTTTTTTTCGTCAGCGATTAAATATTACAAAAGATTTTGACCATTATTGGTAATCAGAGGAAAATTTAAAAAATTCTTGCAATAAAATGATGAAATTTTAAAGAAAAAATTCAATTAAGTTTTGAAAATTGAGTTTAAAATTCATTCTTTTTTCTTTTCGTTCGAAATATACTACCATCTTTTGAGGTACGTGGTAAGGATTCTGAAAAGTTGCTCAGTTATGTGCTGGCTAACGAGCCACCTCAACTAGGCGAAGTATCTTCGGGATTAATGCTTACGAAAAAGGGAAATATTTTCGGATCATTAGACCTTTTCCATCATGATCAGTACAGGTAATTCTACAATATGAAGATTGAGCTAATTAGTAGCTTATAGTCATGGGGAATTGTTCGGTTGCACATTCTTCTTTAATTATACGATATGGAAATCTTAATTTTTACAAGTAAAAAATTTCAGTTTATAATCTTGGTCTAACTGACTCGATGCTAACTGAGGATGTTATTCAAAAATTAGAGTAAAGGATAAAATATAAGTTTATTGATTAACTGTTTTTATAAAATTATTATATATATGTATAGGTACACTTTTGAAAATCTGAAATACTACAGATCAGAATTTATACTTTTAACCGATCCAGAACGAGAATCTCGTGAACTTAACTGGCTAAAAAGAGCTGCAATCGAAATGGAAGCTAATGTAGAAATATCTGGCGTTAGTGAGTATTTAGCTTCGCTTGCTATTGTCGGTCCAAAAAGTCGGGAAGTGAGTTTCTTTTCTCGATAGTGACAGTCTATGATTTAAGCTATGATTTTGTATTGCTTTTTTTATCTGTTACTGTTATACCTTTCGATATAACATTAGCAGATAAGAAGCAAGCAATACTGATTAAATGTGTAATGAAATATGCAGAAATGTTTTGTTAAACTTTACTGCTCAATTTTTATGTCACTTATCAACCAGTAATTGACAAAAAAAAAAATTCTTTTAGATTGCTTTGATTTTTCTGTTATATCTTCGTAATTCATTAGTTATTTTTTTAGTTCAAATATAAAAATTTTCGTGTTTAATAACTTACTTCGATATACCATTTTATTTTTAATTGCTTCGTTATATCATTTGCAACGAATAGTTATGTATGGAACTAATTTCTGAAGTGAACATATGGAATTCAAAATTTTAGGTGTTAGAAGAATTAACAAAATCAGACTTGGGTTTTAAACAAAATGCAGCACGACTAATGAGACTTGGATCAGCACCAGTTATTGCTGTTCGTACTACAGATGCAACAGGACAACTTTCTTATGAACTCTATCATAGCAGGTTTGCCTATTAAAATATATTATTATATATGAAATTAAGCAGTAAAAATATATTTTAGAGTTGTTCATCAGTTCATCTTTCAAAAAATTCCATTATAAAACTTTATCAATTTGAACATATAATTTAAAATTATCGGACTATAACTCTAGCAAAACCATCTTAGCATTTGTATATTATTTGATAATAGTATAGCTGTAATCGAAAAATGGTTTAACGGTTTTTCAAAACGTTAATTATATCTTAGTAATTAAACTAATTCTTTTTTAGAGGTGATACATTGGGACTGTATAATTCATTAATGGAGGTTGGTAAAAATTATGGAATTGTTAATTTTGGTCAAAGTACACTGAATATGATGCGTATCGAGAATGGTTATAAGATTTGGGGCAGAGAAGTATGTTTGTTTATTTATTTTATCATTCTTTCACTAGCATTTGATAATAAGTATCATATGGCGTATGATATCACATTAATGGACATCAATAGATGGGAAAATTTCTTGTTTATTATTCTATCCTGATAGTGATATTTGCTATTAATGAATATTTCGTTATCTTTATACAGCTTACGCTAAACACAAATCCTTACGAATGTGGATTAAGTCAGATGGTAGATTTGAATAAGGAAAACTTCATTGGCAAAACATCTTGCATGGAATTATCGCAGAAACAGTGGAATCGGAAGCAGGTAACTTTAAATTTCAAATAACAAAATCTTAGAAATAATTCAAAATTTTTGCAAAAGGAATAAATGATCTAAAAGTGTATATAAATATATCCATTAAAAAGGTGTCCATACGTACCTCAATAATGTTTCCATTAAAATAAAATAAAAAGGGGACATTAGGAGCGGTGAGATACATTATTTTGTAAAGAAAGATTAAAGACAACAGTAAGAGTCGTACATATTTCATCCTTATCATACGTTATCTCTCTATGACTTGAGAGCCAAATAATGGTATAAAACAAACTAACTGAAGTCAAATAAATCCAATATTTATTCTTTGGTCGGAAATATCGACTAAAATGCATTCGCATTCGCGGAAATTTGAGGCAAAGTAAAAGCATATTGTCTTTGTAAGATAAAAATCATATAATCAACTAATGTTAGTTACGATATGGTTAACATATCAGAAAAACATTCAGGAAGCAATAGTAAAAGAAAAGCAATTTTGATTTTATTCAAAACAAGTGGAAGATATCACTTCTTCTACATCTTAATAAAATCGCTTAAATTTTAAAATACAAAATTTTTAGGTACTTTTGATTTGTGAGCCGCTTACTGAACCTCAAAGTTGGAGAATGATACCGAAACGAATGGAAGTAATTCGTAAGGAAGGTTCAGAAGATGTATGTTATCTATTGTTCTATTTGGGATAATTTTGTATGATCTATAATATATGCAAGAAAAATGATAACATAATGTTATCATTATATCATAAGTGACTGTATCATTTCAGCGAGTGGGACAGATAACATCAGGAACATTCAGTGTTCGCCTTCATCGACCACTTGCTTTTGCTTGGGTACACTCGGATATCACTCCTGAGGATAATGTTTGTTTCTTCACATAATTGAAAATTGAAAATGCTCATCATTATTACAAATGACTGCAAATTTTGTTTTTATTGAAATTTAGGCAAATGATTTATGACCTTTTAAACCAGTTTTGCATAAAATTTCCTGCATAATTCATGCCTAGACGTTACAATTGAAATTGAATAAGTTTTAAACAGTCTTTTTCATCACATATATTTATAGTTATGGATCGATATCGGTGGCTCACAAGTACAAGGTAGAATTCATGAAGGTTCTACGGTATGTGGCATAGAAGAGACAAAGGTTTCTGATGATGCTGTATTTCGACAATCTTAGTAAGCAACAGTTTAGATAATTAAACAGCAACTTTCCATAAACAAAAGTTATATCTTAATAAAAGGTGAGAATGTTAAATTTTTTTTTTTTTTTTTTTGATTTTGAATTGAAAAATGTGAAATAATATTCAGAAGAGAATATTATTTTCATGAAGTCTCTAACAAAATGACAAAACTTCCATTTATCGAACAACTTTGCGGAAATTTTTGAAAAATGAACAAACGAAAGAATGACATAATGACTAAATTCACACTTTCAATTCAAAAATTACCCATTCAATACAAACTTTCACTATAAGAAAATGGTATGCAATAGATTTATGTATAACTGTAAAAAGTTTTGTGAAATATTTCATCCCAACTTCAATGTTGCATGAGTGTTAGTTGTATAAAGTTAGAAATAAAAAACTTTTTTTTATTTATAGGAGAGTATTGTTAAAATAATAAACACGTAGTAAGCAATTTACTATTTTGCGAACATTTAAATAACGAAAGGAGGTTCACCTCCTTAGTCATTACTCGATCAGAATTTTAAGAGTTGCACATAATACGAAACGAATAATTGAAATGATTCCAATCATAAAAATGGTAGAAAATAATAGTAATCATTGATTTGAATAAAAGTAGACAACAAATAAGAAATTAGACAAATTAGATCAGATTGACATCACTACCATATTTTCAATCGATAACATTTCATTACTATTAAGTTACATGTGTTGTTTATTGTTCATTGACTAGAATTATTTTTGGTATTATTTACCCTCTAATGTGTATACATAATTTTATTTATTGAATTGGTTTATTTTAAAGCGATCATCACCTATGTATTTATCAGTTATTTGTTAAGTTGACTTCGTTAGATTCTTTCAGGTAACACACTTCACTATCAATTTTTAAATGTGAATTTTTGAATTCTGACCAATCAATGTCAGATTTGTACAGATGTATTTCCTGTCCTGTAACTATAAATTACGGTAGTGATGATGTGTTTATAAAATTTAAAATGAATGTGAACCACAACAGAAATAGATAAAATTTAGCTTATTTTCTTTATTTTTGGGACTATCATATATCATTATCACGAATTTTTTTTTTTTTTTTTTTTGATTTTGATATAACAGAAAGAAAAAAAGATTTGCCAGTTTTTCAAACACACAATAAAGAAAAAAAAACAAACAAACAGTTGCGAAAAGATGCTATATCGTATATTTTTTATAAGCGATGGTACTAGCGAAGTATATATCCATTGTTGCTCGGAATAAGTTCAAAATCTGAATTACTGAGTTTTTGAATTACTAAAGTGGCCAGATCTTCTTTTCGTTCTTTTTCTCGACTTTTATTACATTCACCTTTTCGTAAAACAGCATTCGCTAGTTGAACATTTAGTGCATTTATTGATATTTTTTGTTCCCATCTAAAATTATTCAAATTTAAGTATTAGTATTTTAACTTTGAAGTAAAAAAGAATTAGATATAAGATACAAAAATAATGTCATCATTACCCGGTTCCACGTTCGGCAACATATCGTAATGGCATTCGTACCACACGAAGACCACTTTCTAATTTATCAAATGATGTTCCATTGCTAGGCATTACTTTAACAGCCAATTTCAATTGATCCATAAGATAGGAGGTATAAAAATCACATGGGCCACTATCATCACCTTTACACAATTCAAATTTTCCACCTTTTGCGCGTACTTCTCGATCTTCCTATAATGCATAAATGATGTCATATGAATCAAAAGAGCAATCAAATGCTAACAATTTGTTGGGAAATGTTTGTTATGCCTAATTGTAGTTGAATAATCACTTTTAATTTTGAGGTCTTAAATTGAAGAAAAGAACTTTTTTTGTTTTAAAAGAAAATATGTCATATAAGTATGATAAACTTGGAAGTGGTAATTTCTTTTCATTTTATCATTCAACATACTTTTTTTTTATTGATAAGAATTGTTAAGTAATAAATCATACCTTTGATAATGATGCTAAAGCAGCTGCAGCAGCAAAATTTTTTGCATCATTATCATTCCATGGTGGTAAAATCCCTTCCAAAACAGTAACATCGTTTACAAGAAGTAATGATTTGCCATTTTCTGTACTTTTCAGCTCCCATTTATACTTAAGTCGTGATGTTAATTGATTGAGTGAAACAAGTGGTTCAGTTGCTTTTTCAAGGACAGTTAATTGTGCTCTCATTATCATAAAACTCTGCAAAGAAAAAAAAAAAAGGAAACGTATTTCTTATTATCGAAATGAACATTACTGAATAAAATAACGTAAGGCTAAAACTAAGAATTGCTAAACTAGAAATTTTTAATAGTTCTAAATTAGAAGATGCTAAATTATTGCATAATGAAAGACAGAAAAACTAGCTATAATTTTTTTTTTTCTTTTTTCATAAGAATCCAAACAAACTTTTCTTTTCAAAGCGCATGGCGAATCTTCACTGATAGTACTAACTCTTCTTGATTCTAATCTTTCTTTCTTCGAAACAGGTGCTTCGATAGAGTTCTCCTCAAAAGTTCTTTTATAACCCTAAAAAATGAAAAAAAAAAAATCATTTTATAGGAAATCGATTTAAATATGTGGTGATAATAATAAAATTATAATATTCGCCGATTATAATAAAAATTTTTCCATAAATAAAGTTTATCTCTTTCTTATCTACATAAAGTTCATCTCTTTATTCTATAGATTTAAATTTTTCAAACTACTGCATTAATTTGAGTCCACCAAATTCAAAAAATTCTTGCAATTCTTTATTAGCTTCGAGAAAAGTATTGACCTTAGACATTTCACATAATCCTGCACCCATTTCCCTGACTGTCTTCATCAATTCTGGGTTATACCTGCAAAGACAGTTACATTTGTCAGACCTTATTCTCGTGCTAATGTGTTTTGCTTATCCATCAAATATTCTAGTAATCGATATTGGCATAAAAATGAACCCAACAATTTTATTCATAGCAGAACTTTTTTTTAAAAAAAAAATAAATTAAGATTAAGAAAGAATAAATTAAAGCTAACATGTACTGACTAAATTTGAAAACTTGTTAGTTTTTAGAATAAAACTATTAAACTAACTGTAAATTACCAATTTTTTGAATTTTATCCAAAAAAAGAAAAACAAGATAAGATTTAATTTTGAAATTTATAAAAGCATTTTCTAAGAAAACAAATTTCCAAAGAAAAAATAATTTTGGTGTTATTAAGATACAAAATTTTTCATTTAGTAAAATAATATTATTCTAATCTATTCAAGATATCAAATTTACATAGTATTTTGTTAATCAATCAAATAATTAATTTTTCTTATTAGTATTCTACTATAATACTAATATCATTTTATCAGTTATCAATGTTTAAAATAGAAATAAAATAATGATGAACTTACGTACAACCCAATGAGATCATATTACAAAAAATTTGCGCAAGACAGAGTAAACGATTTTTAGGATAATTATCCATGTGTCGTTCAAGAAACATTCGTCGTAATTTCCATTGCTCATCGCTTTCATGCATTGCTCTTAAACTATCCAAACTATTCATATCTAGGAATTCATCCATTAAAAAACTTTATTCCTGAAAATATTATCTATAAAATTAAATTTTTTATTTAAAAATTTTTTTAAAGCTACGTTTTCATAACCATTGACTGAAACATGATTAAATATACCTTTTTTAATTAATTATAAACATTAAGAAACAGTATGAAATATTACAGAAAATAAATGATTTTTAATTAGTTATAAAGATTAAAAAATTATATGAAATATTACCGAAAATAAATGATAAATGAAGACAATTGTCTATCATTATCATATAAATATTGTGCTATTTTACGATACTTCGAATTTTTAGAAGAATGATTTAAGATTAATTTCCTTCGAATAGATTCCTTCGTTAAACCAAAAAATTCATCTTATTATGAAAAACATCCTTAACTGATACAAACCATAATATCTCTCTTACAGATCTTATCAGTTTCAGCATATCATTTTTGGAAGAAAATGTATGAATATTAGCAAAATGATATTATAGAAAATATTCTTTAATAAGAGATACCGAAGATTCTATTCAATGATATTTTGCATCAAAAAAAAGGAAAAATTGACATTTCAAATAAATTTAAGTCATAAATTGGAAAATAAATGGTCCAATCTGTGCATAATTATGCCAAAAAAAAAGAAAGAAAAAGAATTGTTACTTTTATTGAAATATAAATTCAGACAAAAAAAAAAGAAAAAAAAAAAAAAAAAAAAACAACAACATGAAAATTATGAATATTTGAAAGAAGAGATCGAAATAAATTCTTTTTTTTTTTTTAGTATACTGATAAAGCTTTAAAATTTTGCTATTAGAACAATTAAGGAAATCATAATGAAAACATTTTGATGGCATAAAGCGATATAAAGCAGTGAACAATTTTTAACCGGAATAATAACTGTAATAAAGCAAATGACTGATATTTGCATCAATAATAAGTAATAAATTGTACTTTGTTCATGTATATTTTTCATTTCTTAAAAAAAAAAGAAAATCTTTTTGTTGATATTTATGATAAGTTTCATTTAAATTAAAAAAGCTCTTCCTATTTTTATCATCATTTAACCGTATAAATAATTTATGGCAAAAATCTACTATACAACATCATGCCAAACAATATTATTGAGCAGTATGAAATAGGGAGAAAAAAGAGTAAAATAAAGAAAATACAAAATGGTATTAAATTACGATAATATGCAAAATAACGTAAATTTAAGCATGGTTTTTGAAATGCAATAACTGATGAATGTGCCGGAACAGAAATATTTGGATATTCCGGATCAAGCAAAAATCGAGCAATAAAACCAGTTAATGTAGTATCATTATAGGATTGAGAAAGATGCTCAATAAATTTGGTACGATTAATAGCTCTAGAAATTCGATACAATAATCTGGATAACCACCAGACTTCATCAGAACGAAGTGATGAAATAATTGGTGGTGTTGCTCTCCAGCAATTCGAATAATCAAAACGATGTGTTCCTTGAGCAACCTATAAATTGATTTAAAATTTATAAATTAGAATAAATTTGAAATTTTTTTAACTAACACATTTTTAATCAATATATTTGATATCAAATGAATCCTTTTGTAAAATTCATATCAAAGCCTTTTTCGAATATGCTTAAATTCTTGTTTTTTTTTTTTTTTGTTTGATATCACCATTTTTGCAGATTACATGAGAGATTGTTTAGTATTAACTGTAAAAGACAATTAGAATATTATCAACAGTGCTGTTCAAATGTTTTGTTTAAAGCAACTGTAGAATTGTTAATGGCATTACTCAAAAATAAATGATATTATTTTGTTAACTTGTTTGCATCTTAGAATATTTTAACCATTCCTTTATCGATTTCCTTCACCGAAATGAAGTGAAGTTACATTTAGCAAAAAAAAAATTATGTCGATTTTCGATATTCACTTCAATATTTTAAATATAATTCAAATATGATCTAAGCTTACTTGCTTTCGTCCAAGTGGTGTAAGATACATCAATTTTGTCGTTGAATCAATATAATGATCGGGAATTTGCTTTCGTGAAAGTGGTGAGAAAGAGCTTAGTGATTTAGATGAATTATAAGTACTCTCAGCTTCATTTGTTGAAATTGTCTTTGTAGCAAAGTTGACATCCTGTGATTCACTACAATCTCCATCTGGCATAGCTTTGCTTGCGTTCAAAATAAGCCTTTCCAGTGCTTCCAAAGTCTTTTTTTGTTCCGACAACAATAATTCCTCCTCTGTAAATAACATTTCTCATTTAAAGATGAATGATTTTATGAAAAATTATTGATAATGTTGACAAGTTTTTGTTTTTTACTTTTATTAAGATTCCATATTTGGTGACAATTTCTTATCTGAATGCCTCGTAGCAGCAATTAAAAATAAAAAAAAAAAGAAAAGAAACTCATTATATATTTATTCTTCTCAGGTGATTCATCTTTGAAAATGACTGAAAACAAAATTTTCTATCAAAAATAAAACTAAAAACTGGAATTAAATTTTACCATATAATAATTTACATCATTATTAGCAATGAAATCGCCACAAATATTCATGGAAAAAGAAATTATTAAAAACATTTATGAAAAAAATACAGAAAATATTTTGATTTTTCTTAATATTCCATTTTGTTAAAAAAAAAAAAAAAAAAAAAAAGTTTTTTCTTTTATCATACTATAGAATAAATAGATCAACTAATGATTAAAAGCAAAATCAAACCAAGACAAAAGAATGTGCGCTGAAACCAGTTTGTTTTTGCTAATTGCTCTTCATATTTCAGCACTTTTAAACGTAAATTTTCCGCATCATTTTTCAATGAATTCAATAAAGCAAGCACATTTGGCTCCAAATTATATTCCAAGGTTTCGTATATCTGTATAATACGATGTATACATCATCAAATCACTATTTACTTTCATTGATCCAAAAAAAATTTTGAATTTGTTTCACCATTTAAAAAGAAAAGAGGAGAACCTATATTGATATTGTACCAATACACAAAACATAAACAGAATTAATTTTTAGGATATAATTAATTTTTATATTGAAGTTATACTTATCAATGTCCTTTATCCGACATATAACGCCACGAATTGGATTATTACATTTTTATTCAAAACCATGATTAAATTATATATATATATATATATAACTATTTACTCATATGTTTCACATTCCGAATTTAAAATAATAAAAAGATTTAGAATCTAAAATTATAAAAAAATTTACTTCCAACATATCAGGAGAAGTTAGAATACAAATGTATGAAGCTAAGTTCTCTATGTCGCCTGTACATTCGAGCGAAAATTTCCGTTCCCAGAATGCATCTGATAATTCGATATAATAACGACGATTGGAACGAATAAATGGCATAACACGTTGTAGATCATTGCCACAGTAACGCCATGGTCGGATCCATGTAACCCATACATCTAAAAATTATATCTTGACTTCGTTTGGTTTCGAGAATTCAATTCATCTTTCTCGAAAAAGTTTAAATTTCAAAGCATAATTTAAGCACATAAGTATTCTCATAGAGAATACAAATAAATGAATGATTTAATTAATGAAGATCAACCGAAAAGATTAATAAATGATGGATTTGGTGGCCAACGAGTGAATAATGACAAGAAAAAATCAAAAAGTTCATCCGCAAATGGTGCATTCCATTGCAATTGAAGTTTCGATTGAGAAAAATTGAAATCTTCCGATTCAGCAAGTGCAAATACATGAATTTCCTTAAGAACAAATCTGAAATAAAAATGGTATAATTCGAAATTCTTAAAAGAACATAATCGAAAATTACTTCATTTCAGACAAGTTAGAAAACAGGTCAAGGAAGAGAAAAACAAGCTTTATTTTAAAATCTTTAACAAAATTTGAAATCCAGATTTTTTTTTTAATGATGAAACTTTCTGATCAAATATAATCATTGCTAACCTTAGAGCGATCAAACGATAATCAGTTGGCCAATTTGATAGTGAGCAGTATGAACGAACAAGAATATATATGAATGTTAAAAAGTGTGGTGAAATAGACTGAATCATAGTTCGTAATGTTCGAATGGAATGTGATGAAGGACATAGTGCATATCGCCTTAAAGCTTCCTGTAACAATAAAATTAACAATAAATATAAATTGATGATTAATATTAAAATGAAACAAATTGCAACTCTTAGATTATTATCAAGCCATTAAAAATCCAAATAATGGAAAGTTACACTTGCTATGCATTTCTGTCATTACTTTTTGTCCCAATGATAGCAAATGATTGTATATAGTTTTTATGATAATAGTCTAATTAAAGTTGATAATTAAAGTTGAAATCATACCTCTTTAAAGAGATTTAACGGTGTACTATAACTACTTTTCATTGTATTTTCAGGATGAATTTTCTTTCCTGTTACAGCACTTGCGTTTTCCTCATTAACTGGCATCATAAAACAAACATAATCGGAGAGAAGTCTCATATAGACACTATCTTGAACAATTTTCAGTGGTAATATACACGAACTACGTTCCAAATGTCGACAAAACGAAGTCATAAAGTATTTGAAAAAATCACTTTTTGATTCCAATAAAAGCTGAAACATGAAAATGTATGCCTTCTAATCCATTTATATTTTTTAGCTCAATCTAATCTATAAATATAATTACAGCTTAGTACTGCAGCAACGAAACAGTAATCTTAATTGTTGCAATATAAAATATCTTTTAGTCAGATATTAACTCAATTATTAATATTAAGTATAAGTATGTTAGAGATAGAATAAGAGATGATTTAAAAAAAAAAAATCTTACCTTAAATACAACCGAATTTATACCAATCAGTTCGATTACTTGGTCATATTCATTTCCAGCATCATTCATACCTGATTGTGATAAAACAGATAAAAGATCAATTTGTGAATCGTTGAAAATACGATCAACAACTGATTGCAAAAAATATACATCCAAAGTATAGCTTTGATTTTGAATTCGAGGTAGCAACTCAGAACAGGCAATTGATAAGCGTGACGGATAGCTACCATATATATCCATTCTTTAAAAAAATATGTATATATATAAAATATAAACTAACTTCAGAATTCTTATCAAATCTGATTAAATTTAACCTACTTAGAAAAAATAATTCATTCACCTCACTTACTATATTAACTTTAATTTCGAGTATTAGTTTCTAAACTTCAAAAAGAAACATGCTCAATTTATTGTTTAATTATGATACACTTCCATTATGCATAAGAATAATCAATTAATATGGCAAGAGCCTCTGCTCTGATTTTATTTATATCAAAGACTAATTGTAGTGTAAGATTAAGAGTAACCAGAGGATGCAGAAGCAGAACGAAAAGATATTTTAGAAATTTGATCTAAAAAGTATAAATATTCTACTAACAACGTATCCCATGCAAATGCAGGAAAAAAAATGAAATGAAGACAAGAATATTTAATTTTATTTTCATAATTTCTATCATAAACACTATGAAAGCACTTATCAGATTTAAAATGAACACTGCAATAATAGGAAGAAAGTATTAACATTTTCGACAAATTTTAAAACATTGAAAAAGAAATGGAATCTATTGAAAACTGATAGTTGATAAGCAACGACAAATGATAAAGAATTCATATTCTTGGCGGAAATGCTTTCATCGACATTGAAAATTTCAATTTTTATTCAGCGAACAATATTGAAAATAGTTCGCATAATATTTGCTGATAACGAATTGCAAAAAGAAAAATAAATTCCGAAAAATACTTGACAAATAGAAGGAATACAAAATCCATAAAATTCCAAAAAAAAAAATTCAAAATGACTATAAAGCACACTTTTAAATACATAAGAATTTAGATGAAAATGTTTTGCATTAAAAAGTACGTTTTTTGTAAAAAATAAAATCAAATCATCATTGAGTTTTTTCTTACATTACTATTATTATAAATCACAAATACCTACTTTTATTAGTGAAATAAATTTAATAACCTATAATATTTCTTCCCAAAAAAATCAACAATATACAATCATAATATTTAATATTTAATAGGGAGATAATTTCATGTTTTGCGAAGTCTCCTCTCACGTTTTTTTATTTTCTTTTCTTCATCTTGTTCTAATGGTTCAGCGAAAAACCATGGTGCAATGATCACTTTCCATAGTTTGTAAAATACATAAGCTGGAATTAACAATAAGAGCCATAAAATCATCGACCAAATTGTAGCTACTATTGCAACAAATGAGCATAAAATTACCACATCTTTACAGTACCTGAAGTAATATTAATATAATTATTTTTTGTAGACTCGAAATTTTTAAATTAAAGTCAAAAAAAGTTTTAAAGAATTTTATCTTCCTCTCTCTCAATCATTTATTCATTTATAAGTAAAAGTATTAAAGTTATATAAATGATCTAAATGTAGACAAAAACATTATGCAAAATGTTTACTATCAGTGATCAAAAATTTGCAAAATACTAACTCTCCAAAAGCATCTGGCTGATTAAGATCTGAGCCAGCATCTGTTACTTGGCCTTTTTCATTACGATGACATCGTGCCATAGAACGCATAGTTAGAATGGCTGCCACTTCAAGCATACAGCAAATAGAGAAACCAAGCTGTAAAAATATTGATAATTCGTAATAACTATTTCCTAGAACAATATTAAATTTAAAATCATCAACTAAAGCAATTATTTATAAAATAATATTAATGTAAAATTATCAAATCCAAACTTTCCAAAACCAAAAATAGTTTTTTATTTTATTTTTGAAAATTACCACAATTTTGCAAATATATAAAGTTTTAAAAATGATTTGGAACTAAGGAGAGACAGAGAGAGAAAGAAGGAGAAAAAAAAGAAGGGATTTATTGACTGGCATAAAATTCGCATATATTATGATCAAATGTTAAGTAAAGTTTGATAATAATAGACAATTGTGTAAAAAGCAGCTACATTTAGTAAGACTTTGAAGATAGCAATAAAGTTATGTTACTTATTTACACATATAAAAAGTAATTAAACAATGTACCCATTCCCATGTTGTTCGTTGAAAGAAAAATACCGAAATCAGTATGTAAAAAACCTGGAAAATGTAGTTTTAAGATATTGAAGTCGTTCTGAATGATAATTACATAATCTGTTATAGGAAATGACAAATGCTTATTTGTTACAAGAACTGAATACTACTGCTATATGATGAGAAAAAATAAAATGTAAAATTTAAAAAGTTAAAATATAAAAATTCTCAATGGAAATAATTTTTCATGAAATGCTGATAAATTTTGATTTAAATACACTAACAATTCTATCGAAGAGATATGATAACATCTGTCCAGTATCATTTAAGTAAATCCAACAAAGTCTTTTCAACGAAGACCAAGCAATTCAAATCATCCATAGGCATTCAGCAAACAAATAGATTAAATGCTTATGATAAAATAAAACTTCTTTTAGAATATTTACTGATATTTTTTTGTTTTTACTACATATATAATGTATGTTAAATTCTACTACACATTAAACATTAGTCAATTATTGTTTAAAATTTAAATGAAATATGCTTACCGAAGAAAATATGGAAGCAGTTGAGTAATGTAATATCACAGTTTGATTCTCTTCATAAATTTGCTTTTGGCCACGCGTGGCAGCTTTACCCGATTTCCCACTTATATTCATCACTGTTCAAGCATTATATTGCTTCCACCAATATAATAAATCCCACTAGAAATAAATGAATGCTTAATTTCTTTCTTTTAATATCATTAAGATTTGATGAAAATCATTTTCATCAAGATTGTTCCTAATGTACTTGACTACAGTTATGATAATAACCATATTATTCAGTAAAAGATTAATCTAGGAACATTCTTTTCGCATCATTTAATAGAGATTCAATTTGTATGATTAATGCAATATAAAACGTAATTAAATTGAAATATATTCTGGCTCTCTTAATTTTAATTTGAAAAAATTTGAAGCAAATACGACCATATTGAAATATTTGGAAGAGTATAAAAATTGTTATGTAGATTAATTTAATACCATAAACTTAAACGTAACTGTTAATGGTGATCAAATACTTTCATACGCTTTAAACAAAATTTCGAACGAAGCTTAACAAATAAAATAGGTTATCATTCGAATATTATAAGAAACAATAAAAGCAAATGCTATCATTTTGTTATACAAATACATTTACTGATATCAACATACATCACACATTGTAACACTAACAAAACGAAGGAATATTTTTCTCTTCAAAAAGTCAAAAGAATAAAAAAAAGAGTGTTAAAAAAATTGAGCACAAAGTCTCACTAAGAAAATATTTCAAAGTTGGAAGATAATGCAACAAGAAATAATTAATTACGTCATGAAACAAATATGCAGCTATCAAAAGATGCTAAAAGGAGTAGGGGATATGTCATGAAATGCTTATCAAAATTTGGCATAGATGGAGGTCAAGCATATCATTTATTCTTATCAGCGTTGAGCGAGATCAAAGGTAACCATCCATTAATGGATAAGAAAAAGATTTTTAGGTATTCAAAATCTTATATTATTTTTGAGAAGAATAAAAAAAATAATTAGGTTCTAGCATAAAATCAATGTAACACATATCCAAAACTTCATTCATAAACCTAATTCAATTTAAACCAACTATGAATTCAGTCAAATAAAGGACACAAAGAATGTAATATTTAAAATGATAAAACATTCAATTTAAATAAATATCATTGATAGGCAGCATTTTACTCTTTTTACTTCAATGTAAGTTGATGAAAACAACAAAAATATTAAACTATGTCAAGGGAAAAACGAAAAAGTGAGAGAGAAAGCAATAATGGCATATCATACTGTTGTCAGTGATCGTGTAATACTAAACGGAAGATTTCATTTGAGATGAAAAATGAACCGGTTGCAGGACGAAGTACGAAAAAGTGATTGAACGACTGAATTGGATCATCATCCGTCTGGAAAAAAAAAATTGTCGAAATCGCTTTTTTCGATAAAAAACCTCGAAAATATTTTCAGATAATAAAATACTATATAAAATTACTCATCCAGATAACCACTTATATGACCTAATAATTTCACAAAAACGCGTTAAACATTCTTATTAATTAAGACGTCTAACAGCAACTAGGCTTTCTGTTTTATAAAACCTAACATAAATATTAACGCGTTTTTGCAGTATGTTTCGTTCCATGTCTACTTCAATAATGAAAAAAAAAAAAAAAGAAAAAATGGTGCAATTATTGTTCCGTGATGGAAAATTTAAATCATTTTTTAATAAGAAAACTTTTCTCTCAATAACAAGATTCAAGCTGCAAACTAATTAATCTCAAAAAATTTAGTAAATTTATACAGAAAAATAAATTTCAGGACTTGAATGATGCAATACAAAATCAGACCATTTTATTTGCAAGGTTTATTTATGCCCAGTATTATAGTTCCCCACCGGCATAATTCCTTTAAATCAGAAGTCGAAATTTAGAAAGAAAAAGAGACAACCTTAAGCTGTCCAATGACTGCAACAAGTATAGACCCGTCTGGTAGTGGTTGACAATCTGTTTTTGTTATCGCTCGTTGTATCATCCTAAACGGCAAGGCCTGAAAGAAAAATGAATGTTGTTAGAGTATATATATTAAGAATAAAGTGATATTCTATTCTTCAATTCTATGAGGTTGTAAATATCCTAGAAATCGTTAGACAATAAGCTGATTAATAGAAACATAATTTTCTCGTTAGCCTATAACACTTTCCTGTTGAGAAATTGGTAATCCTACTCTGCAAGAAAAGTACTTACAGCAAATTTCTGCAAAATAGAATCCCGTCCCTTTACTTGTACACCCTCAAATGTCATGTAGGAATTCATTGGATCGTAAAGATCGCTTAGACCTGAACTTCGTGCTGCAGGATCTTGCACATCGAATTTCGAATAATAATGTTGGATGAATGCATTTCCTATTTCTTCAAAGTTTGGATTAAAATTCATTCTGAAACATTCAGAAAAGATGTAAGTACTTCCCTTTGTATTTAGTCGAATCTACCAATAATGCAAAAAGACTTCAACTACAAAGATCTCGAGCAGTATATTCGTAATACAAACAAAAATGTTTTGGAACAGTTATGAAATGCTATGTGTCAAACCGTTCAATTCAAGCAATCGTCCAAGCTATCCACGATATATTATATTCAATTCGATTTATCACGAGAATTACTTATCATAGTTTGAAGGTAGAACATGATTTCTTATAAAAGATAACCTTACTCAGTCATATATTTCATTCCAAATCTAATGTTTAAAGATATAAATCTACCAGTGACTTCCACAAATTATCTTACGAACTTCATTTTTCTACAGTAATATTTCAGTCATCTAATGCATTTAATAAATTCAAATATACACTATACACTGATTATATAAATGAATATTGATATTGAATGAAATAACATTTATCAGAAGATGAGAAAACTTTGTCAAATACCTTTATTAAGACTTATATACATAAAATTAAAAATTTGAAATGCCTAAGGAAAGAATAGTTCAATTATGAATTATCTAAAGTAGCTTGAAGGTGGTGCAAATTCATCATCACGTTCATCACGCTGTTTTGTGATCCATCTATCATAAAGCACTGAAATACAAATAATTTAATATGTGCGTCATTTTTTCACTAATATCAAAAGACATGACAGTAGAGATATTTATACTGGTGATCCTCTCCTCAGTTAAAAAACATACCTTTTCCACGATCCCACTCACGAACAGGGATGAATTTTTTTGGTTCTGGTTGCACCGTTTCAGCTTTTGGCAGTTGATCAGGAAGTGGAATGTCAAGAAAATTCGCTTCATTATCTCCTGAAATAAAGAAATAAGCTAACAAGGAAAGCAATAAAGTGGAAACAAGTATAACTGAAATTTCTATGCAATATTCATCACGGAGTGAAAAACATAAATCCTTTTCGATTTACAGTTAAATTATGTCTTCCACTACATGGTATACTACTAAGACTTAAAATCACTAAATAATATTTACCTTCAGAGTTCCATGAGGGTAATTCTTCCAAACCTTTTCGCTTCCGTATTCTATTCAACTGTTCCCACTTCTTCTTTTCTCGTTCTTCAAGTAAATGTTTTCTTTTCGCTCGATTAACTTCAGTTTTCTAAAGATGAGAAATCACCACCGAAAAATGGATATAGAAAAATGCAACTGAAAAGAAAATCCTAGACTGTGTTAGTTATTTTTGATTTCTTACCTTACTCAGTTCCAGTAACTCTTGTATTTGTTCTTGCCTTTTACTTTCAGTGACCGGAAGCGGAACATGAGAAACACCGTAAACTCGCTGTTCTAAATTTATTTATAAACTAATTGAAAAAATAGTTTTTTTTTTTTAAATAATCAAGAAAAAAAAATGCTCAGAAATATTGTAAAAAAAAATAAGACCTAACTATAAGAAACTATGATGGATAGTTTAGTGATCAGCAGGTAAAAATAAAATCGATCAAGAAGTATTACTACTCAAACTGACTAGTTTTTATATCTGAAAATTAAAATGAAAACAACTTTGATCAATTATTATACCTTCGTTTGGATTGAAGTGTACAGCTTCACTTTCTTCATTTTTTGCTTTTTCAGCATCATTCAAACGTTGCTCTTCTTGCTCACGCTTCTTTGCATTGAAGTCTACCAGAAATTCCACTGGTTCATTGTCACCTGAAATGCAAGAATAATTTGATTTGCTTTTAATTCATCTTTTTCTCTCAAAAGACACAGTTACCAATAAAAGCAAAAATGACTTGTTTCCACTTAATAAAACACATTGTATTGAACGAAACTAAACATTTCAGTCTATTACTTCTACACCAGCCAATAAACGAATCTTTTAATGTATTATCTATCGACTTTTCTCAAACAACTCATTCCATTGTACCACTCAATGCTCACTCAAAATTAAAAATAATTATGCAAATTGAAAAAAAAAAAACTTTTTCATGTACATGTCCCAATCATTCCTAAATTACTTGTACTTGCTCATGTGTTTTACTAAATCACATACAAGTAGAGAAAAGAAACTACACTTTCGCTGTTACATTTTATTATTTGTTACGTTTTTAGTGCTTCCAAAAAAAAAAAAAAAAAAAGAATGCTGCTTCTAAAAAATAACCAAACGAACCAGTTAAAACTGCTTCGCCTCGACTTAAGCGAGAATAAATTTCACTTTTCTCTTCTAGTATCTTTTGCACACGCTTCCTCTGTTCTTCATCATGTGCTATTGACTTTTCTAGTTCACGGATACGTGCTTCTCGTTGGCGTTTCTCCTCCGCAAGTTTTTTCTCTTCTTCTTTGCTAATTCGTAAAACACTCTACAGGAAAATTCAGTATAGAAATTCTTTATAATGCCGTTTAAATTACTGCGATTTTTCAAATCTCCACTGAAATGCTTGATTACCAAATTCTCTGCAGTAAATATCTTCGGGAAAGAAGTGATTCTAATATTCAGCACCTCACTAACAAGATAAACCATCCAAATTTATATTCCGGAAAACAGCTACATGAAAATGTTACATACCTTCCTGTTGGAAGCTTTCACCGTAGCTGTAGCAGCTTTTCGACGTTGCTCATCGATTTTCCGGTACAACTCACCTTTAAGCAAGAAAAGTGATGACGCATCTGATGTTTCCAGATGATGTTTCTCGCGACTCGAAAGTGACGGACCAGGAACATCCATCACTGCTGCAAAATACAACCCCTCCGACTCAGCTCATTAAATACAAATAAATCAAATGCCGTCTTCCATATTCTTTTCCATTTCCTCAATAACTAACCATTCTTTTTCAGTTCATTCGCAATCTTTTACCAACATAACGAGTTCAAATCAACAGCAACAACCAACAAAAAACCGAAATTTAAATTTATATTTCTACATATGTCATATTATCATCCCATTACTTAAATGCTAAATCTGAAATAATGACGCAGCAATACGGTTTATACTTCTGCTGGTGTATTACAAAATTACATCTACTCGAGTCATTTATTCAGTAATAACAACAAAAAACAACATTTCCAATCATTATCATTTTTTGTATACAGTCTTATTGCAGGGCTCCTGCACCCCGACCATATCCACCCCGATAACCTGATACTGGTGCTGCACCTGGACCCGCCTCGGTTACTTTCTCAGCTGTTCGGTATGCATCTCTATCGCTTTCTACTTTCGGTCCTGAAAATAAATCTACTCCGTAGAAAGACCAGAATTTAGTAAGCATTAAATCAAGGAGCCAAAAACTCTAACTAGCCACACTTGAACTAAGAAAACAAAAGATTCACAAGCTACCAAATTTTGAAGCTAAATCAAGATTACCTCGGGGCATACGCTCGAAACCAAGCCTTGGTTCTCGCTGTTTGGCCTTGACAGTAGATGGAACAATTTCAGCTGGCAAATGAAGATATTCTCGCAAATAATCAATGCCTTCATTCGTTAAATACCAATAATGATGCCGCCAAGCAAATTGTTCTTTTACGTATTCCCGTGAAGCAAGACTCTGCAGTTCAAAACTTCGATTAACATATTTTTTCACCTTGGAAGAAATCAAATCCATATCCTTCTTTTTTTTTTCTACTTTACACATACAACCCTCCATATATGAACATTTCCAAATTGTTATATATTACAATACATGTCAATGTTATCCGACACAAATATGTTGCCCAAACCTTCTACAGTGCATCAAGTTGCTATGTTAATTAAAAAAAAAAAAAACTACAGTACATAAATGAAAAATATCAAAATAGTAAAAATAACTCACCTTGCAAGCTTTTATCACTTCCAAATTGGTTACATTTGGTATATTAGGGTGTGTTTTCAAATTATAATCTTTCTTAGCCACACATACGCCTTCTTTGAACAAATACTCATAAATAGCTTTCCGATTTTTTGTTGGCATCAACATCTTTGATGATTTTCCAAAAATTTCACCTACTACCCCTGACATTATTGCAACAGATAAAAATACATGATAGCAATTCAAGCCCTCGATAAGCATGCAACGAAAAGATTTTCAAATGAAACGAACAGAAATAAACAAACAACTTTATGAAATGCAAAAATACACCGATCAGGTACAGTTCATTTGTTAACTTACGATTTATACTTCTGCTGATATATTACCTTACAATGATATAATTAGCTAATTGCTGAATATAAATAATTTCCCAGAAGAAGCAATTAATATCAATTCGTCCTTTATATCTCAGTCATTTGTCAAATTATCAATGGTTAGAATCAAATTACTTGAGTTACGAAACACTTTTATAAATATGCTCCCATTTTTCCTACTAATGATCATATATTACCAAATAATAAGTAATAGTAAGTAATCATGTGCTAAAATTGGTAAGTCTAACTTATCTCATACTATCAACAATTGAGAACCTAAGAAACTGCTAAAAACGTAAATTACGCTAAAAAACACACCAAAGCTTTAACTCGAATGAGCATCTCAATCCCATAACGTACTTCCTAAATCAAATTTTAATGCAGTCCTATCTCGCTGTGAAATACTAGCGTATCCTAGCATAGCAATATACTACTATTATTACTGCTGTGCTGGGATACGACTATTATTAGAAAGGTTCAAAATAATCCCTGTGTGTTAGTTACATAAGTGTAAACCATGTGTTTTTTATCATAAATAATAAAACTAATATGAGATATGTTAGGCTTATAAATTGTAACAGGTGATAGTTCCTCATTAAAAAAGTAAAATAAGATATGAAGAAAATAAAATTTGCTTTATTGACTTGCTAAGAGGAATATAAATGGAAAATATTTCACCAAAGTAAATCTGCAGAAAAAAAGAAATGTTATATGAATAATAACAATGGATAAGAGTAGCGAATAGTAAATGAAAATTAATACGAAAAAAAAAAAGCGACTTAATATCCCATATGTATGCATGTGTGTATATGTATATATAAATTATATACAGAATCGAAACGAGTAATGAAGAAATACGAATAATGCGATACTAAAAATTGAATTACACTAACAATATGAAATTAAAAATATAAATCATTGCTATCTTTATGTTTTGTTATTTTATACAATGCTTTTAAAATGTGCTTATTATTCCACATCAAGTTTTATCAGTGGAATTTATATAAAATAGTAACATTACAATAGATTATGAGCCATCTATTAAAGCTTATCACAGACATCTCATATTTTTCAGGAAATCTTCTGGCAAGAAAATATAAAAATACATGAAAGAAGTAACTTTTAGCAATTCTTTGCGGTTTAAAAATATCATTCTAAAAAGTATTAGATTTGTTCAAAATTGTAAATGATACAAGAAAAGACAAAACAATGAAAGTCGAGAAATCTTTTGACAGAAATATTCGATATTTGGAGAGCGAAATAATCTACGCAAAGAGATGTCTTAGTCAACCGAAAAGAAAATAGTCTGAAATGTAACAATGTGAAGGAAATAAAGATAAATTGCCAACACTCCAAAAAAAAAAATGGCAATAAAGGCACCATAAACGGTCTCAAATTTAATTTCAAACATCTCAAACACACATACATACATATAAACACACATGAATGTGCAAATAATCTGTAATTATTACTAGTATAACGATTTGCTAATTCGTATTGGTTCCAAAACTTATTCCAGTAATAAAAGAAAGACCCAATTTAGTAAATAAATAAGGTTGTGTGAAAGGATTATGTTTATGTGAAATGGCTACCAAAATATGTTACAAAACAAAAATATGTTTGTTCAATAAATAAGACAAAAGAGGATCGAGGTAGCTTGCTTAGCAATAGTATAGTCTATTTCCGTCATAATTTATAATTTTACAGCGCCTTAATTGCCGGCTACAAAGTTCTGGAGCAACTACTGCGCTGAAAACTAATAAATGAAAGATATAAATTAATGAAGAAAGTTCAGCGAATAAATTAAAATTAATCACTTGGAATCGTTCTTAGAATGTTATCCCAAACAAAATATAAGAATTCTGTAACAAACCTTTCAAAGGAAATTTTCCCAAAAATATAACCATTTCATCTAATTTAAACAACAAATTACAGTTCTGATATGTCACCAAAGAAAAATTATTTGTTAAAGGCTCCGAAAACAGCCCACATTACATCAACACATGGATCTTTCTTCTTGTCGCTTTCAGCGTCGTAATCAAGTTCAAGTAAAGATCGTACACGCTTCATTGCTATTTCATAATCCTGAAGAAGAAAATAGAACTACTATTAAAACTTTAGTCGTACAATTGACATCAGATAGTCAATTAAAGAGTTCTATTAACATTTTTTATGTTTAAAAAAATTCAACTTCAAATCAATCATACTTACAGACATAAATTTGAAAGATAACTTTTGCCACAAATTGATCTAACATCATGCTAAAACATTGCTCAAAAATGACTGATTGACTATTGTCTTCTACAAAGAAGTCGCATTATCTCAATCTTACATTCTTCAAGCAGAACATTGCAAAAATTGGACAGTATATGTATAACATTACGATTTTTATCTTGTTATGACAGCCACTAGGTTCGTTCAACTTCAGTCGATGATTTAAAAAAGGAAAGAAAAAAAGTCGTACAACAAACTTTCCGCTTACAGAAATGAAACTCCGTCAAAAAATTACAACTATCTATAAGATGCAATAAGCAGGAAAAATGCCAAGGAAATAACATATAGATTGTTAATTCCTTCTAAATAAGAATCACATACGAAGCTTTCAGTAAGATAAGTAAAATAGTAAAGAAACAATAAATTCTGAACTAATTATTGACAATGAACACTAAGAAGTAAGAACCAAATCGGTGTAAAAAGGAAAAAAAAAAATCATATTCAGAAAATGAACATTTTCCAATAGAAAAATATTCAATTTTTTTAACAAGAACCTCAGAAAAATCGATGAAAAATACCATTTATATGTGCAAATAATTTCAACTTAAAATAGATTTAAATTAATCGACACATTTCCGTTGGCATATTGTCAAATCGAGAGTTTTGATGAAAACATTACGATTTGAAGTAAGGTTCCATTTCATTCTAAAAAATTGCGACCCAAAAAAACTTTTTCTTTTTTGTACTCCGAAAATAGGTAAAAATGTAGTGGCATGCAAACATCATTAAAACATTGAAATCTATATATAGGTGGAATAAAAATTGCCCTAGAAAAAGATATGTTAAGTCGTGAATTAATAATAATTAAACATAAAGAGAACCTGATCAGAAAGAGGGTTAAAAGCATTTTCTAAAACGTCGCTAGCATGAGCCAACACTACCAATGACATCATTCGTTTCTCCATCCTCTGTACATCATTAGTCCACCGTGACAATACAGTTTCTTGTACTTTCTGAAAAAAAGAAAACAGCGCTTAAAAATCTGCTTCCGTTTTCTTTCTGCGTTGACAAAAAAAAAATACTTCTGAATTTAAATTTCGTCGTGGTACCAGTATCACAATGCCTTAATTAAATTAAATCCAATATTAGTTAAATTAATTAAATTTAATATGAAGTGGAATATTTTATTAAAAGGTAACAGATCAAACCATATGATAGTCGACTGCAATCAGTTTTATTTTAGTAAGTTACTAATGACTAAATGACTTAATACAACTTAAATTTGGGAAAAAATAAGGTTCGATTTCTATTCCATTGAAAAGCAACCGGAATGATGTTTGCTTAAAGTGGTCACAATGAAATGACTGTAATGAACCAAATTGACCTTATAAGCTAATAGGTTAAAACAAAAAGATATAAACGATAAATGTTTCATTTATTTTGTTTCTTTAAAATACATTAATAAGCAGAAAGAGAAACAAAAACATGTCAACCGATGCAACTGCAACAAACTGAACGAACTACAAATAAACAACTACTGCATGTTGATATGATTGGTGATAATCTCTCAATAATTTCAGAGGTAATGTAATATGAGTCCGAATAATAATGACAACATTCCTTGATGATTCAAATCATAAATAAATAAGGAATGCTGCCCTTTCAAACTGTTAATCTTCTAAATTTCTAAAAAACAAAAATGTAAACCTTAATCAGTTTCTGTTTCATGTTGCAATCATGAAGTGGATGAGTAGTCATGTCGAAGAGAAAGAAATTTTGCTTTTCTGTTGTTAGTACACCCTTTTCAACCAAATTTTTCGCCAGTCGTTCACGTACATTACGAAGCTGAACAAAAACATTTTGACATTATGTTCAAATAAAGACACAATCCATAATATCTCAAAATGAAAAGTGAAAATCATAAAAAGTAACCTGATAACGCAATTTAAGTGGATTCCACGTTTCACCACTGAGATATTCAATCCAACTCGTCACGGTTTCCGGTGGCTGTGTTTCCTTGATATGCTTTAGTGTTTCGTCCAAAATCACATCGCCTGTGGGTTGATCACTTTTCAACAACACCTAAAGTACAGTTGTAAAAAATCATTCTGACAGTTAAGTGCCAAAATGATGTAAATTCCATTCCTGTCTCGCTAATTAATTAATCTATAAAAAAAGCACTATGTTTAACAGCTGAATAAAAATTAATTTTTTCTGCAAATTAATTTTGAGTTTAATTTTATGATGTAAAAAATTCTATACTCTAATTCTACAATTTCTTTCAGAATCCATTCATTCTCTGCTCTTTAAATGCAAGCATATGCCTATAAAGACCAAATGAAAAATAAAATTACAAAAAAAAAAAAAATTCCAATTCTTTACTGAATTAATTTTAATATAAAATACAATGATGACAGAAGCATGCAAATATATGTTATAAAAGTATACCTTCCTGTTCATTAAACTTTTCTTCCGCATTCCACATTTCTCTAATTCGATTCGGTTCCTTAGTGCCAATTCAGTGAGAATGCATCCCCGAAGACCACTACTAATGCAGTCATTCCAAAATGATGTATAACCCTAAGTAATAACAGAAAATTTACAACAGTCGCACGCCGGATTTAATCTTCAATTTATTACATTTATATAGGATAAATGATCGAAATCATTTATTTCAAAACATTCATTTAGTAGGTCTTCGTTATATAAATGGTAATTTTTAGGAATAAAGAGTACAAATTTCAAACAAACATTCGAATTATATTAAAAATAAAAAAGCTAACTTCTCTATCCTTCAAACCAAGCAGCAAAATTTGTTCCATTAATGTTAATCTTGTAGCTTTATCATCGTCAAACTCTCCTTTAGAATCATCACTGTCAATATTATCAAAATCTTTCGCATTCTAGAAAAAACAAAAAAACAAAAAAAAATTTCTAAATTATATCAAACAATAAAACTGTGTAATTTCCTAACGCACAAATATTTAAAAAAATTTCTTTGTTAAAGATTAGATATATGGAGAATTTTTTTTTTATTTTCCAAACACAAGGAATTAGCTAAGTTTGCATACCTCGTCATTTCTGAGAGATGCAACGGTTTTACGTCGCTGTACGAGACCGTCCGACATCTCACGTCTTTGCTAATTTTGATGATTCCAATCTAAAAGAAAGGTAAAGAAATACATTTTCAAACAGCGCATTCAACGAAACCATTCAAAATTCCACCACCAAGTGTTGCATCATTATTGTTGCATAAAAAAAGAAAATCCAGAAAAGGTCCGAAAAACAAAATTATTTATTTCTAAATAATGGATTACATATGGTAAATTATTTCGCCCTCTCTCTTTCTCCCCCTCACTAACTCTAACTAATGATATAATTAGAAGAGATAGGTAAACAACAGAACAATTTAGCAAAATCATTTATTCATGGCTAAATTAATTTTGCTAAAGCATTCATAGTATAGCATAGTATCACTTCGACATTTACTAGTATAAATAGATCAGAAGAGAATATTTAACCAATAAAACAAGTAAATCAAACTATAACATGGATACTTGCATTAAAATACAAAGATCAGAAAGAGAAATACAAGGAGAAGGAAGAGAGAAAAAAAATTGGGAGAGGGAGAGAAAGAGGATGAATTATCAAATTCTCTTAACATTTCATAATTTTTATTATTAACATAGTGCCAAATTGCCAGTTACAATTAATAAATGTGGTGAGCAGTAGTGAAATGAAAAACAAATGGAAATATTATGAGATCATCAAAAATGCTTCTCCCCTTCTTTTTTTTTTCTCAATATTTAATATGGAAGGTAATTCTACCTGTTTCTCAATACCTATCCACGTTATCAATCCTATTCCTTTTTTCTTTTCTTTTTTTTGCGACAAATCCCTTAACCCCTCCACCAGGTAAATATATTTATTTTTCCTTCTCTTCTTCCTCTTCCTCTTCCCCTTCTTTCCTCTTTCATCTTCTCCTCGCCAATCAGTCATACATATTCAAAATTTCGTTGTAAGAGAACGAAAACAATTTACAACTATTACATTTTTATATATTATTTAGCTGTATTGTCAGAAAACTTTCATATAATAATTCTTTGATCACTAGGAAGTCTAAAATGTAGGATAGGCAATCAAATTTTTAATTGGGATGTTCACAACATTAAGCATAAAATAATTCAAGGTTATATTGAATATAAAATGAATTGGAATTGTACTAAACCTGAAATGATTTAGATTATGTTACATTTGAAATGATTCAAAACTATACTGAATATAATATATGACAATCCATAGATGTGATTACATTTTTATATATGCAAATTTTAGTTTCCTGAAAAATTTTCCAAACTCAGGATTGTATTTCTTTCAATCATGTTTGGTATATAAAAGAGGAGTTAAGCATACTTCAAACGGAAAGATGTATACACTTGGAGTTGGTATATGGGAACGTTTGAGACGAAAGAGCAATTATTACATTGTTATCGTTGGATTGGATAATGCCGGAAAAACAGTAAGTATTTTTGAAATTCTGATCAATGCAAAATTTTTTTCTTTTTTTTGTTAGCTTTAAGAATATTTTTGTCAAATATTTCAAAATTTACAAGATTCTATCGTAAAATTACCACTTCTTTTTATAAGGATACTTGTAAATTGTTATTTGCGTTTTTTTTTTTTTTCCCCCCCCCCCCTTTTTTTTTTTTAAAGAATTGTTTCAACCTTCTAAACTACTGCGAATAACTTATTCTCGAGCTGTTCTCGTGATGAGATGTTTGTAATTTTCCAGAAAAGGATAATCGTTAGAAAGCTGTGGTAGATATTTTGAGGTTATCTTTTGACAGACAAGATATCAACTATTTACAGACCTTTCTGGAACAGATCAAGTCGAGATTTATTAAGAATTATCAGATGTTAAATCCACTGAAGATTACAAGCACTGTTGGTTTAAATGGTAAGATGATTTGCGGTATTTCATACGAAATGTTCATAGTACCGATTCTAAAAAAAATTTGATTCTTTATTTTTTGAAATGTGACACTTTAATGAGAGTTCTATGATAATTGTTGCAGCTGGAACAATTGTACTTGGTTCTATTCGTCTCAGTTTTTGGGATCTTGGAGGACAGGAAGAATTGCAGTCACTTTGGCATAAATATTTCGAGGATTCACAGGCACTGATATTTGTAGTTGACTCCTGTGATTCTGATCGATTTCCAGAAGTTAGTGAAGCATTCAGTAAGTAAATAATATTTTGTTTTGAAGACATCACTTCAAATCAAGGTTTCCAAATACTGAAATAAATCTTTAACTAGGGAAATATAAGTATGGATTAGAAATTATTTCTAAGCTTCATGCAGATTTATTTTTTCACTTTTTTCAAGTCCAAGATTTTTAATTTCAGAATTAGTAATGAACAGTGAGGCTGTTCAAAAAATGCCGGTTTTGGTTGTTTGCAACAAAAGTGACATAGAAGAATGCATAGGAACGGAAATAATTAGAGTTTTAACAACCGACGACCGACATAGGGGTGATTTGGCTCTCATCTCGATATCGGCATTACAAGGTCTTAATATTGACCGTTGTATGCGATGGCTCTATACAGTGCTAACGCGTAATCACTCTGCTATTGATCTCAGTTGATGAAATCTTCACCCTTTCTTTCATCTTTACGGTTTTTAATCTGTGATATCTTTGAGTTAATTACCTTCTTAAATATCTTGACATGTTTAATATGTTTATTAAACATGTCAAGGTATGTTTAATACAAAAGCTTTTGTTTTAATAATCCACATAATTCAGGATGTCAGGCATACTATTATGACCAAAGCTCAAACTTGTATTCATTTTTTAGTATTTGTTATCGAAACTCTTTGACAGTTTCCTCTTGCAGTAAGCTAATTTACTGATTTCAAAAGTGAACATAATATTTCATGTATAAACAGCGACCCACATGTTACAAATTATGCACGTTCTCCACAATAATCAGTCTGCGAAATTCTAGTGGTTAGATGATTCTTTTCCGTTTACTATTATTTCCATAATGATCTTCATACTAAAAAATAAGGAAGTGATTCCATAATATATTTTGAATAGAAGATCTAGCTAAGATCAAGAAAAACAATGATTGGGTTGCACGGAGCAGACCGGCTGAAAAAAAATCATGTAAATGGAAATCGATTTATTGATAGCAACACAATAAGAGACAATCAAATAAAATAAAGAGCAAGTAACTACACATCTTTGATTGTTGAAGCTCTCAATTGAAATATAATAAAAGCACCGATATGAAACGCAAATGAAGATGGCACCCTCCTGAGCCACTCAACTTATTAAAATCAAAAATAAGATTCTTGAAAGCTGAGGATATAACAAAATACGCTCCAGATCGATTGTAACAACATAAATCAAAAGCAGACAAAATTAGAAATTATAAATACTGACAAAAGAGATAAACTCGAAACATAATACATCAGAATAATTTCAAATTCGAAATTAAATTTAAAAAATGCACAAGCTGCTTCCCTGAAAGCTGTTTCTAATATCTTCCCACAATAAAGAAAAGATAAGGACGGATGAACGCAATCAATTTGAGCTACATACTACAAATATGTTCAATAATACATGTTTGCGAATGTTTCACTCGTCGCAATGCTTCTTGTAGGCTTACCCATTCCCTCTGTCGTCCGAAACAGCTATCTTCCCATTCCTTTAATTCTTCCTTAACTTTTAAAAGAAATACCACTGTCCGATGCCGTCTTTCTTCATCCTAAATTTAAAAGTCACAGAACGAAAATCAGAACCGGATTACAAATGATGTATAAAAGATCAAATAAAATTCGCTATTTTTTTTTCTTTTAATTGCATTATAAGTCATGATAACTCTCCCAGACATCATAAAACCTGGAGCAACTGTAAAATGTTAAATAAAATGCTTAAGGGATTACCCTAAGAAAGTCCAACTCGACGATACGGTTATTGTTTACATTGCAGAAAACCCATTTTATTGTGAACAGTGTATGAAGTAGAATTTTTCTCACTCATCTATCCACTTTCACTGTTCTATTATCTCATTCATCTGTTGATAGTCTTCTCCCTTAGTTCAAATTTAGAAGACGGATAATTTATATAAATAAGTTACCAAGATTTCTATTAATAAAAACTTCAAGCAGCAGAAAAAAAAAAACACTAACCCTAAATTCTCCGACACGAGTTAAAATTTCCGCCTTAACTCCAGCCTCCTCAAAAACCTCACGTAAAGCGGCATCCGATTCATTTTCATTCTTCTCAATGCCACCACCCGGAATGATCCATCGACCATCGTCTTTGCCACCAGTAACTAGCAAGATTTCCCGGCTGTTACCCTCACCGCGTGTGCATATTCCAGCAGCTCGTAAACGAAATCCCTCAGCGTCTCGCAGTCTCTCTCCATTATTTTTCCGCATTAGCCAAAACAACCGATTGGGTGTTATAGTAAAGTCATCGCTACCGAATACTGAAAATTGAATAAGAAGGAAAGGCATGAATACTTTACACTTCAAACAAAAAATCTTCTAAGTGAGATGAACTTTTATTTTCGATTACATTCCATAATAGAGATGCCAAGCTCTAAAAGCTCTAAATCATAGACAAAAATCACAGACAAGCTCTAAAAGGTAAGGAGAAGTCCAGTTGTCACACCCTAGAGAAAAGACTAAAAACATAAAATTAATAGAATAAAACGAATTAGAAAATGGAACAGCTTTAAGGGATTATCCAAGCCTTGCGTAAAGCAAGCCTTTCATTATAAAAGTTTACAGATTGAGCAAATCTTTGCTACTTTAAAGAATTTTTTTTTTTTTTTTTTAAATCTGGAAATAAATTTGCCAAATAAAATTAGTCATCAAAACAAAAGTCAAAATAATTATCAAATTAATCTACACTAAAAATGAAATACTACCAATAACAGCTAATAGGATATCAATATTGCTGATATGTAGTATATTTTATTTTATTAATCTACTACAAAATTTCCAAATTTTCAATTAAGATTATAACAACTGTCAAAGTATTTTCTTGTCATAATATAAATGAAAAAATCCAAAGAAAAAAAAAATACTTTCCATACAGCTATTGATAATTGTTAAAACAAGAAAGAAACAAAAAGAAAAAAAAATAATAATTACACATATGCCACCGATAACTCTTATCAGTACGCCATACCCAATTCTTCTGACAGCCCTATTTTACACAGCCTTTAACTAAGGACTCTATGAAAAAATACCGTCATCTTTATCAGAGTTGGAAGTTGAAGTTGTTGCTGTTGAATTGTTTGTGCCTTTGCATGCCATTTGTATTGATAGTAATTGATAAAATATCCAAGTAATAAATTGTTGATAGATTGACCGTAGAGTCTTTTTTTTTTCTTTTTTTGTTATCGTTTTGTTGTTTTCGTTATACATGAAATAATATAGAAATATGAATAGGGAGAAATTAGATGAATTGTATGATAAATATCTTTTGATATTATATTAAAGAAAAGGAATAATAATAGTAGCAGAAATTATCTGGTACAGCAAACCGCAACAGTAAAATGCAGAGTTGAACTTTAACCTCAGACTGGGTTGTAGGATTAGCTTTATCGATGCAGTGAATTACTTTTTTTCTTTTGTTTTTTTTTTTTTTGGGAGGGAGGGAAAATGATGAGGAGATAAAAGGAGATGAAAGGAAGAGCATTCCATTTATGGATCAATTTGTGTTTTTATTGGTTCGTAAATGTATCTGGCGATGTTGATAGGGTTATTTATGACCCTTGACCTCGTTGGTCATCTGGGAATTTGACCTCGGCAACAACAAAGATCACATTATTTCCATCGTTAATACATTTACTAAAATCAATTTCCAGTATGTTTAACTGAGCACTAGATAATGGAAGTTTAATGATTAGAATGTAGTTTGCCAATTCAATTTCAGAGATAATTATGAAGTTCTGATTTTTAAAACCCTTGGCCTCCTTGACCTGGGAATTTGACCATGATAAGGACGTTCTTTTTCCCCGAAAAGTTTCAATCTTAAATTTGATAACAGAATTGATGAATTTCGCTTTTTTGAGCAGCATTCTCGGCAATACTTCCTTTCAAACAATTTGTTTTTCATAAATTCAGTGTTTTTTCCATTTCAGTCCAGCTTTTCAGCTAAATTCAAATGTGAGTATGAAACCAGTAAATCTTAAATTTTCGAGAGAATAATGAGGAAACAGTTCCAACAATTTACAGTCTTTACCAGAGCTCAACATTCCATTAAAATTTTTTTTCTCCTATTCAAAATTGTTTATCCTGAACTAATTTCAGAAAAATTTCGAAGGTTTTATTTTAAATCGAATTTCAAGTAAACATAAACAATCAAACCATGCTACAACAACAGCAACCAAAAAATGAGGATCGACATGATTATACTAAAAGCTGTTATTCGGTAACTATGTGCTAGGACCGAGATAATAGCCATCGAATCATTGCTTAACCATGCATTAATATCACCACCTATTAACACAGCTTTCATGTAAAATTTAGAAACATCTGTAATGCGCACCTGAACCCACTTGCCTAAAAGGCATTTCTTGGAAGGTATAAGAAAATGTTCATAGTGTTTGTTATGGCCTACATAATGCTGCTGATCAGTTGCCAATTCACAAACAAGGACTCGATGTTTTTCACCAATTCGTTCTTTGTTGTATCTTGAATAAGACCGGAAAAGCGATGACATTTCTGCGGTCCGACGACGGGCCTAAAAGAAACAGCATAGTTTAAATTTGTAACTGATTTAAAATTCTCATAAAATAATATGTAATCGAACCATCATGGATTGACTAGGTTGATAGGAATCTGAAACCAGTCTAGTTCATAACCAGTATTCCTCATTTAAGTATTGAAGAATTTAAGAATAGAATAGATAAATTTAGCTTTGGTTTAATTAGAAGTTTATTAATAGAAAAAATGTTGAAAATTTCATTCCACTGAAGCACTCGTAATTTAAAATAGAAAAATTTTGGAAATCGAATGTACTTTCACTCTAAGTATCATTCGTATATAGTTTCAGACAGATTTTCAAGGGGTGTTTTATGGCAAACACTGATTAATTTTATCTTTTTGTTTGAATATTAATTCGAATTAGGTGGCTTTATTCGATCAATCCAAAGCAGTATTTTTCTCATTTATTTTATTATACTTTTAGACTTGCATATTATTATCTATTCCATACTACTAGGAAAATTCCAACAGTATATTTTTTTATCGGAAAAATTATATAAAACATACTTCGATGGTGTCGATTTTCTTCAAATTTGCAGCTGGAGTTCCAATTCTAGGATAAAATTGATTAATAAACAATGAAGGGAAACGATACTTCCGTACCAATGCCATACTCTCCTCGAAGTCACTTTCTGTTTCGGTTGGATAGGCACAAATGAAATCTGTCGCTATATAGATATTTGGAACGCTGCAAAATGTTTCTTTGCTACATAAAATAGTAGATTTTACTACTGTATTTTTGAGATCTACTTGTAAATACAATACTTTATTCATAAATATTCATTTCAAAACCTCTACATTATACGGACCAATGAGTTTTATTATAATTTCAGATAGTTTTTGTTATAGTTGTAGTTTTTATGTTTATCATTTATTGTTTTTATTATACATATTTTTAGTATTTGTTCTCTATTATATACTACACATCTTGCAAAGTTTTTGTTATAATTTTAGTCTTTATTATACATAAAACACAAGGAAAATAATGTCTTCGTTAATTTCTTACTGAAAAAAATGCATCATTTTTGAGAATATGAAATCATAAAGTTAACAAACTTTTGAATCATGTAATCAACAACTCGGCAGAAATCAGTACAGGTATATTCACGTTTCATGTCCGATAGTACAGCATCGCTTGCCGATTGGACAGGTATATGAAGAAAGGAGTAAACCCTTGGATGATTCAAAATTTCCGAAATCTCCTGAAATTCATAGCAGATTTAACAGCATCCAAAAAAATTCATTGCTGTACATAAACTGTTTGAATGCTTAGCAAAATCTATCGCAATTTTTGATTTTTTTATAAAATAAGAGCTCAGAAAAATTAACCTCAAGAAAATCCAGTATGTATGGTGGATTTGTCATTCCCAGTCGCAGCATGCATCCCTCGGGAATAATCTCTACTAGTGCATTTAATAGATCTGGTAAAACCTATAATAGGATATATCTTTTTTTCTTCTAAAAAAAAGAAAAACACAACAGTGATACTTTTCCATCACTCTTATGGAAAAAAGGAAAGAAAATTTTTGATAAAAAAATTTTAATTCTTCATCGTCTTATGTCTTTTTTCTGCTCTTCATTAGAATAGAATTACGGCAATTATAAATTTTGAAGAATAGTAAAAGAGATAAGAACTGTATAAAATTTTAGAGATAGGGAAGAGTAAGTTAGTATTTCTGTTTAAATAGTAATTAAAAGAAATTAATGTTATTATGAGTGAAAGAAATAAAAGAGAGAGATGTTCGTCAAGAAAAAGGTCATTTTAAGCAAAAACTATTAGAAAATTACATTTTCAATAGAATAGAAACATTAAGTGAGTAGCAGCAATGTTGTCATACTACTTGTTTATCTATTTTCATATTTCAATAAAAATAGGACAAACTATACGATCATGAAATAAATATTCTTATTAGACAATAAAAACTGCATTGATAAATATACCATATCAATATCGCGACCCCAAGCACCTAAATCTTCTGATGTTAGCCAAAGTTCTTTGCAACCATCAGCAAATGCATTTCGTGCTCGTTCTAATAAACTATCAAGTGGATAGCTAACAAGATTTCCACGAGCAGATTTTGTTTTGCAGTAAGTGCAATGGTTCAAACAACCACTACTAATTGCAAGAATCTGCAAATACGATTCACTCTTGCTTTGCAAAAACTGTATCACTCGTAAATTCTATTTAAAAAAAAGTCAATGATAAATCCAATTTGATTAAATTGCATAATGAAATATATTAAAATTTCTTAACGTTGCTCTTACATAAACATTTCATATTCCACAGAGACTATACATGTTGAGATACAATAAAGAATAATCTATAAATTAACAAGTTAAAAAATCGGAAAAACTATTCCAAATTGGCAAAAACCAGAAATTGTTGTTCAATTTTTAATTTACGACGAATACTTCTATAATACCTACTTAAAGAAAATTATACTCACTAACTTCTACAAATTTATTCTTTCGTATTTTTGGAAGTAACAGATTAGAATTTTGTTTCCTTCGCGACAAGAATCGCACACAATTTCCTTTCAGTGTTTCTTCCACTGCCTGTGTTACACACTCAATCTGTTTAACTCCAACTATTGAAATTCCATCCAAAAATCGCAAATTTGGTTCAGCCTTGAAAACACTAGATGATACAGGACATATACTGCGAAACATCCAGAAAAAAAAAAAAGGATGCCATAATCATTTTTGAATAATTTATTAAAATAAACTATATTTGGATAATCTTTGATTAATATAATTACATTTTCAAATACTTTTTGTAGTTACTTTTAATAAAAATTCAAAATAATTTATCTCCATCATTTCTAAAATTTTTCATTTTCATAGAAAAAAAAAAGAAGAGAATTTTTCTTAAAATATTACCTGAGATACGCAACCTGCTACAATAATAAATTTGTTCAACTTTCGAGCTTCTCTAACCATATTTTCAAGTTGTGTTTCAGATGGTGTCTTTACAGTGCAACTGTTTAGTATCCATAAAGATGCATCTTCCTAAAACAAAAGAAAAAAGAAAAAGAAAAAAAAATATGGATAAATTATTTTAGATAAAATTCCAAAATTTTCAAGCACAAAATTAGTCAGTTAAATAATGTAAGAGTAACTAAATAAATGCTTTACAACAAACACATACTTTTTTATTGGTCAGTTGATGACCAGCTGCAGATAATAAACCAGCCATTTGCTCAGAATCGCTTGTATTATGTGTACAACCCCATGTTCTTATGTAAATTTTTTGTGTTCCTGAAAAAAAAAAGCTTCTCACTAAATGAATACAAAGAAATTTAAATGATAATATCGTTGGATAATAATTCTATTAATTTCTATTACAAAAAATTCTTGTCTGTATAAAAGAAAAAAAAAATTTTAAGAATTCATATAAAAAATAAAACTAAATGAACTGACTTAAACAAAGATTTATTTAAAAAGTTTTTCAAATTTACATAGTAAAATTTATTTTATAACTCGTTTCCCTTTTTTTTTTTAAATGAAACTGCATAAAATATATGAATTAATAATGGTATAGATGAACTAATAAAATATTGAAATACCGATAAACATTAATAAATGTACATACCAGGAACAAAACTATCACCGTAAAATATTTCACCATCACCTTTCAGACGTTTTCTAACAATCACATAATCTCGTCCTAAATTAACAGTTGCAGGAACACGAATAACATCTTCTATATCTTCCATATTTCTACTATTATAACCATCCACAAGTACTGTAAAATTATTTTAATCATAACTCTATGAACAACCATAGTATGCTTCAATGATAGAAATGTAAAGTTAAAGTAATTCTAAAAATTACATGTAGGGTATACAAATTTAATTAGTCATTCTTTCTTCCCCTTTCTCTAATTCCATTTGTAAAAGAAATGGATGAATTAATTAGGAAGTACCACATATAATTCACAAATTGAAGATAATTCATCTATTAATTAATCCTTATCCGTACAAATTACAAATGTGAAATTTCTTCCCTGTTAATAATTGATATACCATATTTGCTACCGAAAATAACACACTATACTGTATCAAATGATATCAATTAAGAAGTAATACAATAAAGTTTTGTGCATTTTGTTAAATTTAATTCGAAGATATGTATATTATCTAAGATCAAGAAAGTAAAAATGTTTTAGAAATTTACAAATTTTAAACTTTCTGAGGTATTTATTGTATTTTAACGATCAAAAACCATACAATAATTGAAAAAAAAAAAGAAAGAAAAAAAAAAAAAAAAAAAAACAAAGAACTGAATCAGACGCGACAGTTCGACTAGATTATTCAAAAATAGTGAAGAATATGAATGATAGGATAGACTAGAATACTAATGCGAAAGTCATCAATCTAAAGTTGTAGATAAAGCAAAATATTATTTCAAAAATATCCTCAGACATAATCATATAATACAATTGATAGCATTTATTATTAAGCAACAAACTTTTCCTTACTAAACAGTAATGCTATCCTATCTTATTCAAAATTATATAATTACTCTGTAACAATATTTATGAAACATGTAAATATTTTAAAACTTGATACGAAAAATACAATAATATAATCATGAAAATATGCCAAAAAAAAAAAATTCACCGTATTAAAACAATTACAATGTCTATTGAAATTGAGAAAATTGAACAATTCCAGACTTGAGAAAAAAAAGAAAACGAAAAATTATGACAGGTGCATGACAACCACCGAAGTTTAATTACTAAATTAGATGGAAAGGCTTAACAGATATACTATCGACATTTGTTTTTGGAACGATGAAAAAGTTATTACCAAGGTTGATGGTGCACTGAATGAAAAGACAAACACGGTAATTACGATATATTATGCTACTGTCAGCAGTGAATGAAATACCTTGGCAAATGATACCTGGTACGATATTAACATATAATAATAAGATGAAATATAATTTGATAAACTTATTTGCATCGATGAGCAGATTAATTAACTGATAGGCAAATAATAAAAATAAAACGTCAAAATCGATATCTATACATAGCGTTTATGACAGATTCTTTCTAAAAAAATTCAAATGTAATGCCATATAAATCAATGAATCATAGAAAAAATTTTTAATGCAGAAATTCAAAGTCCAGACCATTTATTTACCTAAAGACAAGACCTTCAATATTGTTTTCAATAAAAACAAATCTTCCATTCATATAAAATATATAAATTTGATTGCTAGCCATATGAAATCTGAAGAGCACGTAGATTAAATGAAATAGTTTCGGGCTGCAAAAGTTATGACCTTCTTTAAACAGCTCATATACAGTTATCTTGGAGATATAATCAAGTCAACACCGGAAAAAAGAAATCATTTGTAAGAATACTTCAATAATTCTAAACAAATTAAAAGAAGAAATAATCGTCCTTTAATATTTCTTACACTTCCAAGAATAAATTTATAGAATTTAGGAAACAGAGCGTATAAAGGAAGTATCATAATGCAAAATAAGTGTTTTTAGAAACGTCATTTCTCGTCGCGCATTATCAAAAATAACACGTGGATCATCACTACCACATCGTAATACATTGGGTGCCATTACCATCGCTAAATTACATACATCCATCTTTGTATATTTCACTGTTTCTTCTTCTGCGAGTAACTGTAATATATATTTGTTTGAAAATCTGTGATAAAAATGAACAATGAATTGTTATATCTATTCCTAATATGACAACTTTAAAACTGATTTAAAGAAATCATATAGTAAAACAAATGAAATAAAATTTCAATCTTAAACTATAAGTTTATCCCAGTAATAGTATTATTATATGTCAAACAAAGGTATCACGAAAATAAACAAAAATGTACCTGGAGAAGTTCGAGTAATTTTGCTAAGACTAGACGATTTACAGCAGGTAACAACTCAGCTATACGACATGCTTCTTCAGGTTGATCACATACTGCTAAACAACGTAGATAAAAAGCATCCGGCAGTAGTGGTTCTGGCAATGAACGTAACCACAATTTTAATAACGCTGCTGGAACATGCGCATCACGCACAACCGGAATAAGTCCTCGATCAAGACGCAATCGTGCTAAAATTAAAAACAAAAAACAGCGATAAAACACTTTTTGAGTCATCGTCGCTAAAGTTTATTTATATATTATAAATAATCTTCAGCGTTGAAAAACATACTTCGCTCAAAAAAAGAAAAAAAAATTTTTAACTTCTAAGAATATGGCGGCTTATGATGTTTAAAGTTTTCTTCTCTTAAATATTTCTCTCTCTCTCTCTCGTTCCCGAATTAGTTTAAGAGAAGTAGGACATAATTAAAACAAGAGTACCCAGCACTTCAAATTATTTATTAAAGTAATGCATAATTACCAAACTAGTCAAATATAACAATTATAAATAAACTTAGTCTTACCTGTATGAACATGATCTGGATCCGCTGGTACACGGAAAACACCTTCAGTATGTTGTCCATCTGCCGATAATATCAAATCTATCAAGGTTGTTTCGAGCCAAGGCAAGATTCTGAAACATTATTATAAATTTTGAGAATGACCGAAAAAAAGTTGTGATTGAGATATATGCCATATATATTCTATGCTTAAGCTTAGAGTGCACCGAAATGCTTAAATTAGTGTAAGTGTAAGACGATGAGATTACAAAATTATCAGCAAAAAAAAGTAGAATGATAGCTAGCAGTAAAAATTCATCACTCAGAAAATTTTTGAAACATCAGTTATTAGTTATAAGCTCAAAAATAACAATGCCTAAATGATTAATAAAATAGCATGCATAAATATATTGTTAATAGTAACTGCTAAATTTCTTAGCCACAATTTGGAATTGTTACTGACATAATTGTCTCTCATCCTCCTTTTTTTGTTTTTCCCTTTATTTCCCCCTCTTTTCCCTTTTTGGCCGCGTAAACCTGAATAAAAAACTGCTGTATTACTACCACACTTAATATTAAAATAACTGATTAACTTACGAACAATGGAGTTCCAAAACATCTACAAAACTTAAACCATCAAGACAAACCTTTCTGGATACTTTTCCGCTTGCATTTCCATCAGTTCTTCCAGAGGAGTACAAAATTGCGGTGGGTTAAAAATATGTACACGAGATTCCTGAATAAGACTAAGCGACGGTTTTGGTCGTGTAGCCGATAAACGCACGAGACGTCTGCTGCACTGTATAGCGTAATGTGAGACGGGCACCTAAATCAGATCAAATATGATTTACATTTCCCTCTAAAATTTTCATCAAAGAAAAAAGCAAAAGTAAAGTAGTATCAGATGATAACCAGTAGAAGAAAAAAAGTCTGCCAATTACTGTTTTTCGATTTCTCCCATTTCTTCGACATAAAATCATCCGTCAGTTTTGCTTATCCTTGTACTTTTTGAATATTTGATGTCTACATTATTTAGTTCAAGAATGATACCTCGGGCATATCCAATAATCGATCAGAATTTGCTTCAATAAATTCAGTCAATTTCTGAGCTATTTCCGAATTTGACGGCGAGAAAAAAGACAGAAAAATAGCAAGCAATTCCCATCCTCTTCGTATCGAGTCAAATCTCTCATTGCCCGTCAACTGCTTCATAATTTGACAAAAAAGTTCATCGGCCAAACCTTCCTTTGAAATACCCCATTCACATAGTGTTAAGGCCAGCTAAAAAAATCAAGATAAAATTGTTTAACATACTTACACAGAGTTATTGAAAACACAGAGTACATTACTCTTTTTAATCATTACATCGAAAAAAAATGAACATAAACTGGGATGTCAATATTATATTAAATAAAAAAGTAATTAAAAAAGATAGCACTGTAACATAAGTTCAATTTTTCAGATAATGTAAAGTAATTATTCAATATCCACTATCCCTGTTTTCAGTTCTAAGATTTACTATCCTAGCATAAGTTCTGCTACAATTAAGAATTTCAAATTTCAACCTGATCAATGGACGTTTTACTTTTCCGGTCACCCATATAGCTCTGGATAACTTTAAACATATTTGGTGCTTCTTTTTTCACATGCTTGTCATCCATATTGCCCGAAACGGGTTGTTTGATGGATTCTTTAGTCCAGCAATCTGATGCTCCAAGAGTGGCGTCATTAAATTCACGAACTTTTGGGCTTGATGTTGAATTGTGACATTTTTTCAGTGTTGCACCATCATCAAGGGGAAGACGACTACTGCTTATTGTAAGTGATGAGCTGGAACTACCAGCTGAAGATTGAATAATTGATGGCATAATATTGGTTGAAGCAGATGATGCTGTACGAGTCGACATAACTGCAACAGAAAGATAAAAATTTTTAAACAAAAAGAAAAAAACCTTGAAAATATCAGCAATACGCAATTAAACAGCAATGAAAAATTCTGGTTATATTTATCAATTATTCACCAATACCATATAAATAATAATTATTCATTTCATTTCTGTTGTTTACAGCTCCAACTCTACTTTAATATTACTTCAAGTTTACCGATTTGCGGACGGTGCAGAGGTGTTGAATGACCTTCCAGTGAGTCATCACGAGGAATATACGAAGCAACTGGCATAGCAGGAACATTTCGCGGTAGGCATTCTCGATTTGAGTATATACGCATATCCTGCAATAAAACGATTTATTTGCATAAATTAGCAAATTCAGAGTAACATAGAGAAATGTATTATCCTATCTTATCTTGTCAAGAAAAAAGTACCCATTGCCTTTCGATTATTTGTGCTCAAGCAATATCACTGATATAATGACATAAAAGAAAGATATTTTAGGATAGAGTAAAAATAACGCTTATTTGAGGGGCGTCAATTAATTGCTTCGAAAATAGACACATAGAGAAATTTCAAAAACTTCTATAATTTCAATCATTTTGATCCACCTTCTTTATTTCATTTGGTCTAGATAGAATAAGAATGAATTCGTCGCCTCTATTTTTTGAATATTTACAAAAACAGCGAAGTGGAAAATGGGAAAACGAGAAAAAAAAGATTGATATAAAGGAAGAGATTGGACAATTCTGCGCTTTGCCGATCATTTCATTATGATATCACTGTAAAATAGCAACAGCTGGTTTGTTTTATGTTAATAAAAACTTGTCCTATAATGGAATGATATTATGTGATTCTAACAAAAAATCTGGATGACTCATTCAAGGAAGCACAACATTTTACATATATATGTATATACAGTACCCCTGAAAAACATTCCAGCTCTACATTTCAAAAACGTTATTGAGCTTAACTAATATAAGTTTTACAAAATCGATTAATGAGAAATCGAAAAAAGTATTACAAAAGAAAGCGTAAGAAAAAATCCACACTTCAAACTGCTAAATTCTAATTTTTCTTCTAGAATCATTTGCAGAATAAATGGCGGAATGTCTTATGTTTCAGGATGTTAAATTATGACAACTACTATTTAAATTTGTAGTATGAAGATATTAAGGTTCTTTTCACATGCTATTTCGTATAAGTTATCTTCTTTGCAAAATATGCTCTTCAAAAAGCATAAATAGAAGCTGTTATCGATCAGTCATTTAATGAAATGATTACCTGAACAGTATTAACTAGCGGTGCAATATAACCATGCGAAACTTGCACTGAAGAGGATGATTTATTATATGCCTTCCTTGAAATGGATGTATGTGGTGAATTGAGTCTTCTTGTTACAATTCCTGATTCAGGTGAAATATTCTAAAAAAAAAGTTGATTAAAACAATACTAAACCCAAACTGAAAGTGGTATATTTTACATAAAAATTATGCTATAAACATAATAGTATAATTCGAACGAAGACAGAAGTTCACTAATACATAAATAGTGCTAACTTGGGCAAAAATTGTATGGGATAAACTACGGCTGCTACCGGATCTCCTTTCTTCTTTCGGTGATGTTTGCGTTTCAGTATTTCGTTTAGTTGTCATTGTTCTTTCAAACACTGGACACTCATCATCATGCTCCAAATTGGAATGAAGTTCGGTATTTTCTTTGAGGGTCTATAGAAAAACTGTGAATAATAAATGGGAAAGCTAAATGTTTATCCTATTTCATAAATGTTAAAAAGTATTGAAATTAGGAACTGAGTTCATCATACACTGTATATGTATATATATTAAACGTTTTGTGTTTGTTACGACTGCTACAATGACTGCAAATTCCAATGAGAAAAGTAAAGAATGCAAAGACATGATGAATTTTGATTTCAGAATTTTTTAAATTCTCTGCTCGATGATTACTATCTCTGAATTGTGTCGCATATCATCACACTTTCAAATATAATAGCATCGCCGTTCCAACAGGCTTCTAGAGATACTGCATGTAAATTGTTTACCTGAAGTTTCGCAAGTGGTATAATATCACAATTTGCTGGTTTCTGCCATACCGTTTGCATAGTAGTAGCATTGTAATAGTAGAACCGTTGTGAATTGGTATCAAATAATTCCCACCATTGATTGCTTGCAGTCTTCTTCCTAAGAAAATGAAGCATTTCAAATAGCCAACAGAAATTATTCCAGTCTCATTCGTAAATAAAATATAATTTGTATTATATTAACTGTACTTAAAATAATATTTTGATTGAGCTAACAATTTCTTTCTACTCAGCTGTATATTCATTTAATGAAAGAGACTGAAAGTTGAAATGAAACAATAATGAAACAACTTGAAATGTGAATAATTCGCTATGAATCATTTTTAAAACTTAAAAATGAAAAAAAAAAAAAGGAAAAACTTACACTGGTACACCAGTTGGTGGCTCCCAAGCACATTGACCCGTTCGTAAATTTGCATACATATATTGCCGTGTCTGCGGTTCCACAATTTCCACCCATTCCACTCTGCAGTAGATGAGAATTGTAAATAAAAAACATGGAATATTAACATCACCTAATGTCTTTTTCTATTATTGTTTTTTATTTGCAATCACTTGGGCTAAAAGTATCGACTGATTCTTAATACAATCCGAGATTTAAAATTATTTGAAAAGGTTGAAAAGGACGAAAAATTAAAGCAAATCACTAGCGAAATAAGATCATCACCTTAATAAAGCCGTGTTTGTATTTAAAAAAAAAAAATGATGAAAAAAAAAGAGGAAACTTTTGCAAAGAATTAAGTCGACAAATGAAAAAGATAACTAATATATCAGAGAAAGATAAACGATAAGTATTGATGATAAGTGTTATGAGAGATAACATAACAATACTTCATTCCCGATGAGCAATGCAATTCGCTTCCACTTCGTCCTTCCTCCATTATTTCAACACTTTTTACTTTAAGCTAATACAAATACTATTCGCTCAACTATTGCTTCCATCGTACTGAAAATTCATTTTTTTACATTATACTTAAGAAGAAAATAAAATAAAAATGTAACATTTATAAAAACTGAGAAAAAGTTGACATCACAATTATAACAACGTTTTTTCTACAATAACAGCTAATATAGTATTTACCTTGTTTAAAAAACTAATAATAAAAAAGAAGAAAGAAAGAAGAAAAAAAAGAAACTAAGATTTACCCAACAAACGGATAACACGGAAAGACGAGGATCACGCCAGTGATACTTACGTTAAGAAAGGGGCAATAGTAATAGTAGTAGTAGCAGCAGCGTGCGGCCGACGTGAAATCCTAACACTGAAAGGCTTGCAATTGGTTAGCTGCTTATCTAAATGGCATAGAGAATCATTAAAAAGGAAGGAGTGTGTGAGGATGAGTTGCATCATTTTCATATTTAAATCAATTCATCAATTTATTTAAGCTTTATTTAATTCAATTCCCTATGAATGTTTCAATTTGAAATACTAAAACTTTAGAATATATTATCATTCTGTGTTACTTTAATAATTCAAATTCATCCTAGTTTAAATTGATTTAATTTAAGTTCATCTTATTTCTCTTAACTTTTTTATTCAGTTTTATTCTTAATGAAATTTGAATTTAACCTAATTTCACCTAATGTAATTTTAATTCTAATTTTAATCATGTATAATAGATGTTGCTTATGATTAAAAATAAAAAACCTTAAAAATATAAATTAGATCATGAAGAAGTCAAGGAAAAAAGAAAAGAATGGTTACTAAGATTGATAAGAGAAGATAAACTTGAAAATATAATCATTTTTTTCTGAAAACAAGATGTGAAATTCGTTTAATTCTTCTCTTAACACATATCCCTTTGTTATTGTTAAATTGGCGAAAAATTTCGTGTTTGAAAATCACTGTTTCAATTTAAATGATTGACATTCAATTATATTATTAAATTGAAGATTAACTTCGTCAATTTTGATCACAGATTATACAACAATTTAAATAAATTCATGGAAATTTTATATAGAAATATGACTGGACACTTTAATATTCATTTTTTTTTTTTTTTTTTTTTTATTTCTTAAATAATACATTCAACCAATAAATTTAATATCTTCCTTTCATAAAAATGACCGTGTTTTTAAGTTTTCTTCAAATTAAAAAAAAAAAAAATGTCAATTAATTGCAATTATTGCTTTTTAATGTAATTATATCAAAATTGTCTTCCAGCAGTTTTTCAAGATTTCGTTTATTTAGATATAAAAATGTTATTATATACACCTCGAAAGTATAGCAAGTTTCATACCTCAAAAGAAGTGAAATAAGTTAAAGCATATTTATTTCGGCTATGAAACCAAAGATCAATGTATTATTTTATTCAAAGTAAATGTGAAAACATCTCTAATTTACGGGAAGAATAAGCGAAGAAAAAGTAGAAATTACTATGTATTTCTGCCTGCAATGCTAATAAGGAGAAAAATAATGATAAAGAGTGATGATAGCAATAGTTGTACTGATGATGATAAAAAATAATGATAATGATAATATTGATAATAATAATAGTAAGTGATAATAATAAATGTTGATGATAATGGATAATTGATATTGAAGTAAAAATCAATAGATATCATTGCTTTCATTATCAGAACTGCATGAGAGATCTTCTTCAACTCAACGCATATTTTCAATGAATGAACGTAAGCGTTTATTCGGAAAAGGATTATAAATGAAAATATTAGATGGGAATCAACGATGATATATGAACACAAACGAAAAAAGCTTTCCTACGTTCTTCTGTCCCTTTTCTAGCTACACCTTCCTCCTCTTCTATTCAAAATAAGCTTTAACTATCAGCTACATTAGGTCTTCAGAATTATCACAGCATATTCTGCTTTTATCTCTGTGCTGTCTGTCTCTTTGCATTTTCCATAAATTTTAAGGATGCTATACAATTTAGGCAGATTTTCTCTGCATAAAGTCATGGATACACTGTAACAATCAATAAGAGAAAGTGGGGATGCTTCTATACATTATGCATTGAAAGATATGGAAAAGTAAATGTGAACCAGAAATATTCTTCCATTATGCAAATTCATAGTTACCATTCCTGAATAATTCTGAATTCAATGCTTTATTAGATTTTGGAAATGTAATATATCACGATATCACATTGTAGAGAATAATAGAAATATTAAATGCTTCAATAATAATGTTGCAAAGTAAACTTGAAAATTATTAAAATTTTACCATTAATTATTTTTACTGACAGGAAATGTTTGCGTATGTGTCAGATTTACGGTACACTTATTAAGAGTTAGTTCAATGAATTAACAAGAAATGACTTTATTTATTGAATAAAATACTTTTGAACAATCTTGTTTACTAATTCACCAAATTTCTATTTCTTCTGATAAACAAAAAGCAAGTGAAAAAAGAAGATAAATTTCTCTTTTCATGGTCAACCATTATCGTCGTATCAATTTTAATTAACGTTTCTAAAACACTGAAAAATCAATAAAACGATTACTGTAATGTAATATGTAAAATGTAGATATTTATTTCGATTGATAATATCTACCATTACTGCAAATAATTTAACAGATATTATTTAAATATTATTTTATCACACATTATTATTATATAAAATAAATACCGATATAATCGGTATAGTGCTACAATGTTAAAAATTGAACTAGTTTGGATTGTCGGATTGGTCTGTCTAAGAGGTCATCATTGCATAAAAATAATTTCAAGAGCGAGGAGGAAGAAGAAGAAGAGGAAGAAAAAGAGTAAACGTTGGGAGATACATAAATTGGCAGATTTATTTAGTTCTTTTTGCTTCGATACTGCTAGTTGTGCCACCTTAACAGAGGCGTAATGTCAGCAGTTCCTGAGGTAAAAGTAGAAACACCTGAAGCCATTTGTACTGCTATTACTACTGATACTAGCGATACTATTACTACTACCACTACTGCTAGTACCGCTACTACCGCTACCACGACTAGCACTACTACTATTGCTACTACTCCTACTACTACTGTTACTACAATAACTCCTATTGATATGAAAGAAGAAAAGAAAGATAGTACTGAGAATCTGATTCCTTCATGCAAAAAATTAGAGGATCAAGAAAGTGAAGAATTGCATTCAGATTTTGCTGTGAATTCTGCAACAATTCCTACTGCTAAGGAATCGTCATTGCAAATAACCAAAGAAAAAGCAGATTTAGTGCACTCTTCTAATAGTGGTATAGCTGAAGATGGTGCTATTACAGATAATAAAAATATTGATAAATCTAAAGTTACTCCTATGTTAATTTTGGAAACTGAAAATAACACTGCTGGTATTACAACTAATGAAGTTACTGATTTACAAAAATTTGCTAATAATTTTGACCAAAATAAAGTAGATCCTAGCATGTCTAATTTAGCTGAGCACAACCTTACGACTAACTCTGGTCAAATTTTAAAATCTGAAGTTGCAATGTCTGCTGGTGAAGTGCCTTCTAAAGGTCGAGCTAATGACGTTGCAACTACTGTAGAACAGCCTTTACCATCTGATGATGAAAAAGAAAACGATTTCAAAGATAAAAGATTCGGAGGGATAGGTGACGGTACAGAAAAGGATAACAATGATTCTGAAGAAGATTATAAAACAAAAGAGGATTCTACTTCTATAGATGATAGACAAGCAAGTAGTGATGAAACAGATCACTTTGTCGATGCCAAATCATCATCTCAGGTTGATGGTGGTTCAGGAGATGATACTGTTGAAATTAGCGACGAAACAAAGGAACAAATGGAGGAAATTCAGGATGAAGAAGGATATGAATACGAGGAAGAGGTTGGTTGTCTCTATTTCAGCCTCTTATAACGGATATGTCATGCTATAAAACACTATTAGGTCATTTAGGAGTTGTCTTTTGACAAATATTATCCTTTTAATTTTGTTTCCAATATTTTAAAATCATCAACAATTAACGGATGTTTTAGCTAATTAACTGTATTATAATTTCGCATAGTACCATTCTTTTTTTCTTTATTTATTTATTTATTTTTTTGCCTAAAATATCTGTACACCTAAAAATGTTCAGTAAATCATTTAGGAGCAAGAAGAAGAAGAACCAGATGATGATGAAGTTGAGGGTAATCCAGCATTCATTCCAAAATCTGGACGCTATTATATGCATGATTCAAGAAATACTGATGAAGAGCGTACCCCAGAACCGTCATCACATTCTCGGGCAGATGGAAAGTGGAAGCATGATCGTTTTGATGAGCGTTCACAAAGACCGAAAACTAAGCGAGAATTAATGAATAGATATGGTTATGATATACGTAATGAGGTAGATTCGATATGTTTTAGTGGTACAAATGAGATACACAGATAACTTTGAGAATTCCTTTGCTTTTCGACCAGCATTTCCGGAAGAAATCGAAAGTGTTTAATTTGCAAACTTTTCACTACTTCATTACTTATGTTATATTTAAAAGCAAAAAAAAAAATAAACTTTATACAATCAGGGTAAAAATACTGGTGGTGGCAGCATGAATGCTTCGACAGCACATACTAATCAAACTCGAGGTGCATCTAGAGGTGGCAATAGTGGTGGTAATAGCTATGGAAATCGAGGTAGACTTTCAAATCGAGCACTACCACACCATTCACAACACCAATCATATGATAAGTAAGTAAATTCAGGTTCAGTATTGTAATACTAAATTAAGTTACAAGAATCGAGATTTGATCATTAACACATCGGTGGTTTTTGAATATTTCCGGATTTTTCTGGATGTTTAATGTTATTTTTAGGTTTATTTTTAATAAATATATTGCTAATTACAGACGTGATCATAGGAGACCAGTACAGAATAGTGGAGCAGGAAGGCCAGCGAATCGAGGTGGTCGTAAAGGTGAACATCATCTTACTACAATTCATCAACGAGACCAACGTGGAACTAGAGTTTTCAAGAACTCACCTACGAGCGGCCAGAAAGGTAATGCTGTCATCCTTTCTTTGAATCTGAGTCCGAAAAAGATTTTCGAACCTCATAATCTACATGATACCGGCGAGTTAAGATCCACATCTACTCTGGATGTTCACATATCTTTGTATAATTAATTGACCATCACTCCTAACAACTCAGGACTTGAGAATGTATTATGCAAAAGATCTTAAATTCTTTACTATGCAAAAAAATTCAACGTCCGCTGCACCCATGAAGTGTAAGATGAAGTTTTCAAGTTTTATGTCTTTCAAAATTCATACAGCGAGAGTATTTTCCATTTACTGAGATCCACTTTACTTTTTTCTCAGTGTCCTTTTTCCCCATTAAACTTCCTTGCCCGCTAAACGTTTCATTGCCATAGAAGTACTGATCAGTTGAAATAATCATAATTTATACCAGCACAAATACACGCTTCATTTGAAACATGAGAAAAAAAAATCAACACAACAGTCAAGTAGACTTAATTAGAAGAAACGCATAGAAAACAACTTTTTAACAAAATTAAACTCTAGAAAAAAAAAAAAATTAACTTCACCGAACACAAAAAATTATAATATATTTTCAGGAATACATGCATATCCCGCAAAGTAAATTATTTCATTATAATATCTTATAAACCTGATATATATATAACAAAGTAGAAAGAGAATTTCAAGCTTCTTGGGCACGTAAAAAGTTAGGTTGAGTTGCCGTTCAGCCCACGTGCATTCACTGTCAAATATCATATGCAGTTATTGACAGTTGAATAAGACGTTGCCGAAGCTGAAAGAACGCGTAACTCGGCTGGACGGCAAAATAACCAAGAATAATTAATCACTATGCAAAATAACATCTGGAAAAAGTATCAGTTTACTGTATTTACAAAAGTCGGAGGCTCAGAATATGAACCCAATTAAAATATGGACGTTGTAAAACTTAAAGAGTAGAAACAAAACAAACTTATGCTGTACACAATGCACAATATTTCTCTTAAAAAGATAATAAGAAAACACAAAAAGTCAATTCAGTTGCAGGTGCTATAAATCGTATAGATAATCATCGATCATATGACCGAAATGAGGAATATTTGCGTGACAATCGGCAAAATGGCGGAGGTCACAGAGGACGAAGTGGTACTGGAGCTAACACAGGTGATGTGTCAACCACGCATGGTAAAGGTAGTGGGGCACATACTGGTGGAAAGCGCTATTCAACCCAACGTTTAGCTACAAATTATGCACCGAATATACAGCAACTACCCCCACCACAGCCACCACCACCACTTCAGCCAACACCAACAACGGGTCCTATACCAATTCCGCCACCTGACTGGCGTCCGCCAGCTTACCAGGGTCCACCACCACCAGCAACCGTGCCACCACCACCCGCTGTGGCACCTCCACCACCACCTATTGCGATACCAGCACCAGTACCCAATTTCCGCCCCAGTGATATCGTTTATTTTGATCCACAACCCCAACAACTGTATCGCAGTCCAATCCCGATCCCACCACGAACCAAGAAGCGGCTTGAAATCGTACCACCTTATCAGGCCAAGAATTCAAATTAAATTTTACACTTATATGTTATGAAACTTCTTTCCTAAAATTTGAAAATATAAGAGAAATTAGTCACATCAAGTTTCATTCTCCAAGAATTTGCATATTCCAAATTTTTATTCAAAATATTTTTTGCCTCAAATAAATTTTTGTTGCCTAATATCATTATTGTACAGAATATAATGTCACCAGTAATACTGATTGATTTTTGTTATTTCCTAAACACTCTGATAACGATTACTACTAATGAATAAAGAAATTCGGAGAATATTAAAAATCTAACTTCCTAGTAATTGGTTCTTTTACACATTGCTATGTGAAGGGCTTGCCAGTGGTGTCAGTAAATCGGGAGTGGTCGGTACTTCATTCAATGCTAACATTGGATCACCACCTTCCAGCATAAGAGGTTGCCGTTCAAATGATTCATCATCTTCTATTTCATCGGTCAGCATAGTATCCCAGCAGTTTCCAAGAAGGTCACGACAGTTGTCAATAGTCTGCTCCTGTCCAGTCAAATACTCAGCTAATTCCTCGGATATTTGTCTATCCAAAGACGGAGACAACGAGATCGGGTTGAGTGACATAGAAGGCTTAGTAGGAGCCTGAGATGTAGCTGAAGTAGCAGGCTGGAAATGTGCAGCAGTTAACATAGGAACCACCGCTGCCGGTGCAGTCGGTCCTACAACAGCACCATTTTCCGGTTCGTCGGTAACATCCGCAATAATTGGACCCTGATTCGAGTGTGAGTTAAATACATTTAAATTTTGCTTCGTTTGACCGTTTGTATTATCGGAGATTTCACGATGCAATCGATCAATAATTTCAGCAAGATTACTTGGCTGTCCAAGTTGCGTAGAAGTACTAGCCATTCGTGCACGTTTGACACCAATCTGCAATTACCTCAGTAGAATTTCTTGAAAAATGCTCAAAAAACTCGTTTTAACTACAGAAAACTTCATTTTGTAATTTCAAAGATGTTACTTCATTTACTCCAAAACTTCATTTACTCCAGAAGTTTTGCCGACTTTTGTTAACTACAATGTTGAGTAAGGCTGTTTGCAAGATTCAGATTTGTTTTTCTTTGTTGAAGATAGTAAACCAGTAAAGTGAAGTGTACTAAAGTGTATGTAAGCCTGTCCCATCTCCGAGATAATCGAGAAAAAGTACCCTAAATTACTGATACAGTTACTATTTTTCACCTCCATTAAATAGTTAAACATTTAATGAAGAAAGAATAAAAAATACTTCATCAATTGCCAGTAAGTTCCTTTTTCCAAGGCGTTTTTGTGAGGGCTGTACGAGTGCTACTAGAAACTGGACCAATTTATTGACAACATGCTGTTGCTTAACATGCTGATTTCGAAGATGTGATACTTGTTGCCACATTGCTTCATTTTCCCTGGAAAACGTATTTTCAATACCTGTAACATTTTTGTTTTTATATCAGTGGCTATATAGCCATGCAAGAGAAATCAAAGACTATTCCATAGTTCTGATCTAAAGATATTTTATAATTTCAAATGTTATTTCCAAAACTGATTCCAGAAATTGCTGAAAAAGTAAAATTATCCATCTTCCAACTGAATCTTCTTACATATGCAAACGAAACCAAAAAAACAAATTACATTGTGATTTGTTAAAGGACCCGAAGTCAAAAAAAAAGGCAGACTTATAGTCTTTCCAGATTCTACTATGTTTCAGTTACTTTATATGAGCGCTGATGATAAGTTCACATCGTTTATGCTTAAAACATACTTTACAAGATGTGCCATTTTGTTTTCCATCGTTCGTTGCTTTTCACGCAACTGTCGTATCTCATCCACAAGGACACTTATTTCTTTTGGAGGCATAGCCACTGAGTTATTCTCATTGTTTCGATTACCCGGAGTTTTACGTTTAATGTTAACTAACAACTCAGGATGATGCTGGATAAAATTCGGATGGGAAAACTCCAAATGATCCTGATCACTTTCAGATCGTGCCAAACTTGACTTCTCAATTGGCGTCATTTTCCGGAAACCATCTGGAAGTACACGGTTTTTCATCAACAGTAAAACAAGAATCAACAATAGCTAGAAAAATTGATGCTAAAATAACGATACACATTATAAAAATGTGAAAGAACATATATTTGTATGCCTCAAGACAGCATCCGAGTAGTGAAAAAAAATTTTTCACAACCAAAGGAAGATATTTTTAAGAAAATTCACAAACTTACAAGTACTTCCAAAAAAACACTATACAAGAGTAGATGTCTCATATAGGTTCACAATTTGTATTACAACTTTTTCACGAATTATCATTTGTTCAATGACCAGTATCAAGCTGTTTCATTTATACATAACGCTTATATTGCCGAGATGCCGATTTGAAGAGACTCCTGCGTGTTACTGTATAAATCAGATTTGCTCGTTTTGAAAACATCGATTACCCGACAACTAACTCATCAATTCTCTCGGCTGAGAATCATGAGAAATCAATTAACGTTTGAAATATCACAAAAAATGCTTACACATGTTTAGTTGGCGTATGAGACTATTCAAATTGTTGTGCTTGAAAAACTGCGGCAAGACTACTCGGCAAAACAGATGTGGATCCAGAACATGAAAACTGTATCCACTCTAAAAAAAGAAAAGAAAAAAAAAAAAAAAAAACTATGCTTAAAAAAACTGAATTTAGAGCACTTTTGAACTCGCTCATCCCTACTTGTAAAGAAGCAAAATCATTTCGTTCGTCAGAAGATCAAACATCATTATAAAAATGATGTTATAAAAATATTCTCATAAAATCATCATAAAAATGATGTTTTAGATTCTTTCAGAATTCCAATATGTCTACTATACTGAACATACTTAACCAGAAAGAATATGAAGTTTTCCGGTCTTAAAAGTGAAACATAATCCTACACCCACTCGTTTGGCTAGAACTACATTGACGGAATGCCAGATTTAGTTTCAATCTAGTCCAGATTAATTCTATAATTAATTAATAATATATTTATTACATAATTTTAATAATAAAATTAGTAAAAGCATAAAAATCAAACCTTGTCCCAGCATATTATGTTTTGAAATTCCGGATCTTCTAGGATATTCCACATTTTCACGAGAAACATCGGCACTTTTTCCTCATCTCGATACTGTTGTAATAAATGCATGGGAAGGGTTGTCGTTGGTGGACACTCTTGCCGAGGTAATTCAGTACATTCCTGACGATGTACTTCTGCTAATAATTTAGGTGAACGCATGAGAATAGTTCCGACTGAAGGTGATGGTGACTCAACAGGTAGATGATCTCTAATAAAAATTGTATCTGATTGCGTACCATCATGTTCGATTTCCTTTTTCTCCATTCTTTTTTCTTTCATGTATAAAATAACGTCTAAAATTAATTTCACAATTTGTATAAGAAAGATACAAAATGAGTCAAAAAAATGTCTCCAGACAAAAGATAGAGCTATTTTTGACAACACAAAAATTTGATATAAATCATAGCATCTAATCAAGAAAAAAAAAAAACAGCGACATACATCATGAAAGAAAAATGTAACATGTAAGACAAATATGTAATGTAAACATAGAGGAAAACTTGCAAAAGATAAATGTCCCAGTAATTTATCATGATCACTGATATCTTGATCACCTCACATTCATCATATAATAATCCATACAGTTAACAAATAGACTATCAAATACCATAAAAGTTATTGATCTTATCTATAACTAAATTAATGATATACGTCCTGAACTATTTGTGAAAAAACCTTTCCCATGAATAAAAGAAAAGAAAAGAAAAAAAAAAAAACCACCCATTTGGGCAAATCATTCACAATGAATGGTAGTAGACATACTTCGCTCATAGTCATAAATGTAAGAGGTAGCGTCACGATATATATATATATGTGTTCGATAAATGAAGTGCTAACATACATTAATCAATTCCTCATTACTTCCTAAATGACTGAGTGTTAAAGGACAAAAGGAACGAGTGAGTTACCCGTACAGTAGGATAAAATGCCCAACTCATCTCAAACGCTATATTGCGAAATTACACCCAGCTGACAGGAACAAATCACTTATTTCTGCAAAATGTTTAACAGGTTGTTAGACGGTTTGAGAAATAGTATTGTCATTATCTCATAAGATAAATGTCTCCACATTGTGCTATTTTGACAATATCATTTGCAATTTTTTCATCCCATATTTGTTAGCGACTTATTCCACAAACTTTTAACTTTTTATCTTTTACCTTTCATCATATCCTGTAATACATTATACATATATAGTACCGATTATCAAAGCTAATAGAAAACATTACACTAAAAATTTAATCAGCAAATAGCAATGAAATGTCAAAAAAAAAAAAGAAAGAGACCGGATCTAGTTAAAAATTTGAACTAGAAGAATTATAAAATGTTATCATTTTTGATTTGATCTCTTTTTTAAAATTCTTTTTGTCATTTCTTACATCTGGATTAATAGATAAACGAAGATATTAAATATTGAGAAAAATCAATTTCCTCCTATCAATTTCTTTTTTTTTTTTTCGGCAGCAAAATTGCTTGAAATTTTATTATTATGGTAATTTTATCCACACATCATTCATTGTAAATAATTGTTAGTAATTTTTGATCTTATTCAATGCTTTACACTTATCATAATTTTCTTTCTTCCTCCTTGAAAACGTTAAAAATTTCTCAGTCTCAAAATTTTTTTTTTTTTTTAATTTTAATGTCCTCAACTGTTTATATATATATTAAAGGATGGAAAAAACAAGAAGACAAATACTTCCAAATGGTCGAAGGCAAAAAAAGGTATTTGAACTTAATAAGCCATCAGAACCTAATTACATATATGATTGCCTCAAATTAGTAATCCAACGTCTTCAAAAAGGTGAAAGAAAAGAGCAACCAACTCAAATACCTTTAATCCAACGGTTAATTTACCTGTAATAAAGATTACTTTGATCCAAAAAATAATTTTCAGCAACAAATAATCATTATTCAGAATATCATTAATAAAACAGGTCTGATAATTGCCACCGATAATATAAAACCAAATTAAATAATAACAATAAAAATATAATAATTAATTATAATTAATAATAATAAGTGGTAAATAAAATGAAATGATAAGTAATAAATAATATAATAATAATTAATATATAAAATAATAAGAAATAACAATTGATATAAAATAATGAGAGATACATAACAATAAATAATAACAAAAAATAATAAGTGATAATAGATGATATAATAATATATTACAGTAAATTAAAATAATAATTAATGTCAATAATATAATAATAAATAGGTTAGATGATAATAAATAGTGGGAAATAAAAAAAATTAATGATAAATGAATATTAATAATAATAATTAACAACATGTAGTAATAAATAATAAACAACAATAATGAAAAAACAAATAGTAATGAATAATAGTAAATAATAAAAATAATGAATAAAAAATAATATTAAATAATGACACATAAAAAATAACAAATAATAGCAATAACTAATAATAAATAATGATACAATAATAATTGATAATAAGTAATAATAAACAACAATAAATAAATAATATAATAAGATGTACTAACAAACAATATGATATAAAAATAATAATTTATAAGTTGTAATAAATAATGCAATGATAGATGACAAATAAGTAAAAATAAATATCAAGTCTTATTGACCTTTTAACTATAGCTATTATTTATATTATCAATTACTTCAAATTATTATTGGACATCGGACAACAATCAATCCAAAGCATTCATTGTCTTCTTCCTCCTTTCTCTTCCTTGCTTGCGACATGAGATCATTCCATCGAGGAGGAGGAGGTCACTGGTAGACTGAACAAACTTTCATTGATTAATATACTAATGACTTACCTATCTTTTATAATGATAACAGTATTAATGGTTTAGTCTCTTTTATAGGTATAGATTTTGTGCTTCTGATTTTCGGTGTGATTTTTATTGCGATTAAATTGTGACATCACTAGAATATTTTTCAGCCACAAGGTCACATCTACCAACTTTGCAGATTTGAAAATTCGCCTGCGTGAAGAGTTGGTGTACCTCCAGGTGTTGGGGAATTACTTGTAAAATGCAGCACACCTGGTATGTTTATTTCAATGTCAAATTTGCTTACAGTAACATCCAGCTTACTTACTGAGCTATTCAATTATAATGATCGAGATATTTTGCTTTAGATTGACGAGCTGAGAGAAAAATTGGAAAGAAGCGAGTATGGAGCTCACAGCGAAGGAGCAACACAATTCCCAAAAGCTGACTTGAAGTGGCGTCCAAAGTTATCCGCCATCTCGAGAACAAGTCGAAATGTTCTGCGAGTTCTTGAAGCACGACAGAGGTTTGGAGCGGGAATTCGAGAATCAGAATCAAACTGTGTTCCAAACTCCTTGAAAGCGAGCAAGAAAAAATGGAAGAAATACCAGCGGAGGAACTAGAACCGGCATTGGTTCACGGAGATGACGGAATGGCAATTCATAGTGATGTGATACCAGGAGCACCTGCGATTATTCCTGAACGCATGGTAGTGGAGACAGGTCAAGAAAACGTGTTGTAAGTTTTATTTTCAGTCACATAAATAGGACAAAGTATGCAAATGGTTAATCCATTAAGTATATATCTGTAAACAAAACTAATTATAATACATGTTTTTGATCAAAATTTATGCATACCGTGCTTTTGAATCATCTTATAACACGGCTAAGTCACTGATAGTTTTTTCTTTTTTGAATAACTAGTTGGAAAGTATTGGAAGCATGATATCGATCTCATAGGAGATTTAATTTAGTTGCAAATACAATTTGTTTATTCAAATTTAAACGAACTAAAATACCGGACTGTATCAATAAAAAGAACTTTCAATTTAAAAACTGTTAAAAGAATCAAGCTTTGATTATCGATAAAAGCAATCTTTAAAAGAAATTTATTTTGTCTTTAATGGCAGGAATAACAGCAAGTATACCAGCATTTCAAAAACATGAAAGGATGGAACAAAAAATTGTTTGAACTATATAGGATAACTAAAACAACCAGACCAAAATTTCCTGAGAAAGAGTTATATCACTGATATAATCCATTAGGCATAAAAAATCTTCATAAATAAAATTAAAAAGTCTCCATAAACAATATTAAAAAAAAATTAACATAATAAATTTTAAATCAGTTTGAAAATTGAACCCGAAAAAACTGGAATTACCCGATAGCAGTGATATAGAACAGATCAAAGTAGATTATCAGTTTCAAAATGAAGTTTTCACGACTAAGTTACAACGCTGCAATTCTTTTAAATTGTTCCTCCATTTCGACTCGAATTTCTTGCGGTAAATCTGATCCGACCTGAAAGAGTGTAATAGTTCGAAAGTGTTAGCACCAAATATGATTACTCTCACATAAAATTCGAAAAACCGAGACAGAAAGAATAAGAGATGCTTCAAGAAAAAAAGATATGAGAAATCATTTTTCTAATTAGTAACTTGAAAAAAAAATAGAAAAAATACAGATCGATAGGGATAATAAATTCATTTTTTGTTTACTTTCCTTTACAAAAAATAAAAAAAATAACTGATTTATATAACCTTATTGATTTATTTGTTCAGTACCCCAACTCTATATTACTATTATAGCAAAAGGTGGAGTGCCAAACAAACAAACCAGCAAGGTTGTGTAAATCGACTATTAACAGAAGAAAAGTAATCTGTTTCTATCCTTCAATCCATTAACTTCGTGCATTAGCATAACATATGAAGCAAATTTAAACTTCTCAAATTTTATCATTTATTCTACTACGGAAAAAGATAAAACGATTGGTAAAATCAGAATATCAGAAGAAAAAAGTTGTAAAAACTTAATTGAAGGATTATTTCTTCTAAATACTAAAAAAAACATCGAAGTTAAAGATCTTACCTGTTCTTCCATAAATTTCTTAATCTCCTGAACATCTTCTACCCAATATTGCTTCGGAATGCTCAATAATTCTTTTATGTTTATATTTTCAAGACCCTCCAGATTTAATGAATCTTCTTTAGGTACAATACCAATAGCACTTTTTTGTCCAACTGATTCATCACCATCCAAACGTTTTATTATCCAGTCAATTACGCGAATATTTTCACCAAATCCTGGCCACAAGAAGTTACCATTCTCATCACGACGAAACCAATTCACATGGAAAATTTTTGGAACCTATGAGAATAAAAATTTTAGGAAATAATATGTAAATCTGATTGCAGGAATTGCACTAGATCTATAGTATGTTACATTATAATGTACCAATACCATACAATAATTTTCAATATTAGGCATTAAAATGATTTATATCAGTTGCATGCAGGTGCACTTTTCGGATATACATAAAACCAAAACATCTAAAGAAAAATAGTCACTTAAACTTAAGTGAACTACTGAATCAATTCTTTCAGATTTCTGTATGCTTTAAAAACAATTTAAAATGATAACCTTATGAATGCCATTATTCAGATTTAGCCAGTGTTGAAGATATTTGCCAAAGTTATAACCCATAAAGGGTCGCATCGCCATTGGATCATGCATTACTACTTTACCTTTAAATTCAGCTGCAGCTGTTGCTTCAGACTTCAGGCATGCACCTACAAAAACTCCATGCTGCCACGAAAATGATTCAAACACCAGCGGTACACCTTCCGGTCTGTAATTCATTTTTAATTTTACCAGACTACTAAAAAAGAACCCGATTGCTAACGCTTTAATTTACATGGATTCTATTTTTTAGTTTTTAGTATGGATCTATTTTTTTTTATAATAAATCATCCTAAACCATATATTCTACCTGGCACAATCAACAAATTAAAGTAGCCAAAATTCTTTTAAAATTTAAAATTATCTCAACAATACAACTCAAGAATTTTGTAGTTAATTCAAAAACAACTTCTACTCTTCTTGTGTTACTCATACCTGTAAACAATACTTTGAAGAACATATCAACATAGTCTTTCTAGTTTCACTGATTATTTTGTAAATTTCCTAATAAGTGAAGAATTGTAGATGGACAAATCACATTACTTAAGCTTTATGAAAACCACAAAGTCAAACTTGCTAGTTGACATCAGATCAAGTTCAATAAAGAAAAAATGATAATGTTGCTAAACAATATACAACTTTTATATTCTACTATAAATCCTCACACTAACCTTCTTCCACCGAAAATAAATGCCTCAATTGGTACACCACCAGGTTCTTCCCATCTTGGATGAATAATCGGACACTGACTGGCAGGACAAGTGAATCGAGAATTGGCGTGTGCAGCTTGACCATCGTCACCAATGTGCCATTTATTACCTAACCAATTGATTATATCAACTTTTGGATTCTGAAAATCATAGCTATTATGACACTTTATGCAATAATGGAAATTATGACACATTTATTTATGCAATAAATATTACATTCGTCATCTTGATTTTTTCATCCATATTTCAAGTAAAACCTTTCTTTTTTAGACACTGTATTTTGGGTCAAATCAATTCAGCTACATTAAACAAATTAACTACAAACCTTGATTTCTTTTTCCAGTCCTTCCCAGAAATATTCCCCATCAGCAGTTTCAGCAATATTTGTGAAAATGCTGTTTTTCTGAAAAGATGCCATCGCCATGGGATTAGTTTTGTACGATGTTCCTGGTGCAACACCAAAAAAACCCGCTTCTGGATTTATTCCGTATAACTGACCATCATTACCGAACTTCATCCATGCTATATCATCACCTAAATACAATAAGACGCCAGTTATTTCACAAAGAAAAAAATAAGAAAAAATTTCTCATACACCTTGCAGAAAGAATGTAAAAATTTCAGTTTAAATCAAACCTATGCATCGCACTTTCCAACCCGGAAGAGTTGGTGTCAACATTGCAAGATTGGTTTTACCACAAGCTGAAGGGAATGCAGCCGCAAGAAAGCGTTCCTTACCATTCGGAGGTGTTACACCTGAAAAATGTTTGTCTCTGGAAAATGAACTTTTTTGAGCCTTCTCCATAAGTTACCAAAAGCTGGTAAAACTATTTAAATTATAATAAACTGCAAATAAACTAAAATTTACCCATGATAAGCATGTGTTCAGCCATCCAACCTTCCTGTCTAGCTATATTTGAGGCAATCCTTAATGCAAAACATTTCTTCCCAAGTAGCGAATTACCCCCATAACCAGAGCCAAAAGACCAAATTTCACGCTGTGCTGGACGATGTGCTATAATCGTTTTCGTTGGATTACATGCCCAGTTGTTCACCAATTTTTCTGAAAAAACATAATTCTTAGGAACTTGGGAACTATGTATTTAGACTTGTTGATAATAATTATAAGATAAAATAATCATTTTGCAGAAAGAAACTAAGCAATAATTCATTTCATTAAAACATGAATTTCTTTTAAAAGATAACATCATGAATTCGAATCAAAAAGAATATCTAAATTAACTACCAACTAATTTGATCACAAAACAGAAACTGCAAAAATTTACCACTCTTTTCTCTCGAAATGACTGATATCAAGCTATGTTTAATACCCCAATCAAATGGAGAATAGAGAGAAAATACCTTTAACTGGTTTTGGAACGCCGACAGAATGAATACATTTGACAAAATTATTATCATCTAATGTTTCCCATACTTTTGGCGTTACACGAGTCATAATACGCATGCAAAGAACAACATAACTGGAATCAGTAACCTAAAAAATGGAAGTGTAACGTATAACAATGTATAATAAAAATAATAAGGAACACTTTTCAACTCTTTGAAAACGTATATATACATATATATAGTGAAGTTACTTAATCAAGAAAGATTTTGTGATATAAAGTAAAACAATTCTACAAAGTCACACATTGAGTGGGAAAAAATCTTATCAAATCTTATAAAATCATAAGATTTCAAAACCTGTATTCCAATTTTTGAAATTGGTCCACCAACTGGACCCATCGAAAACGGAATCACATACATTGTTCGTTCTGAAATAATCTCATCAACAATTCATTTTTTAAATGAACAGTTGTGGGAAAACAAAAATGTTAACTTCAACAATTGTTCTTTTGCATACCATTCATGCAACCAGGAAATCGTGTATTTTTCTCGTTTTCAAACTGCTCAGGTGACATCCAGTTACCCATGATCGGTTTTACACCTTCCGCCGTATGACATACCGAGTCAAATTTTTCTTCTGTTACCATCCATGTTTTACTTTCTACACGAGCAACATCCTGAAAAACGTAATAGTCTTGCAAACTATGTTACGGCACTTCGTTCAGGAATTACTAAAACCATATATATATTATCAACCAATCACAAGAACCAACAAGATCTTTTACTTGACATAAAAAATTTGACTAAATTTTTGCAAATTCAAATTTCAGGTTTCATCAAGAATGTCTTTAATCAGAGAAAGAAAATTATTGAGATTTCTAGACACAGAAACCTATGATTCCTGGCAAACCGAAACAAACAACTAACTCTTGGATCCGTTCTGCAAATAAAGTTATTCTCGTAAGCCTTCAGCTTTTTTAGCATTCCATCGTTAACCATTCGTTTAATAAGTTGATCAGCCTCTTCATTTGAACCATCACAAATATGTACTTCCTTGGGTTTCATTAATTTTATACTTTCCTCGATAAATTCCCGAGCTTTTTCAGATATCATTTGATGATTTCGCTAAAACTTCTTATCATCAGATATTTTATTTCAGAATTTTAGATTCATTATCAAATTTTGTCTCAAGTATCCAGCTATTATTGCTTTGTGTCTAGTATTATCAGGAAGTAATTTGAGGATGAGGATAGATTCCAAGACTTCTATATTTCAGGCTTGCTTCTTCTCTTAAATAATACTCATAAAGATGAACAATCTCAGTCTTTCTTGGATATCCATTTGACAACTTTCTAAAGTCAACATAACCATAGTATGTAGTTTCATTTAAAAAACAAGAAAAAAAAAATAATAATAATAAAAAGAAACTATTCTCTAAGAAATCACACGTTATCGTAATTAGCTAAGGATGAGAAATGAAATATAATACATTTTCGAAAAAGTTTTCCATAATCAGTGATTGCGAATTTGTTGAATAGCACGATGGAATCGCAGTTGCTCTTGCATTAAAAAACTGCTTATAACAATTCAATCCAAATATTTGACTAATGGGAAATTTTCGTGAAATCTTAACAGCATATTTGGTCATATGAAGACTGGACATTTTTAATGATACCTATAATCAAAGCTGAAAAAAAGAAGAGTGCTAAAATTTGAATAAAATATGATTAAGAAACTTACAAAGCGCAGTAAGCAAATAAAGATTCATACAAAATTCATTTTTTTTCTCCTAGATTTTAGAAAACTATCATTTGGGAATAAAAATAATTACATTAGATTTCAATATTCAAGTTGTCTAACCTAAACTGGTATTTTTTTTATTTTTCCTCAATCAGTACAAATGTAATTCTTTTTTTTCATTTCAAGCCATTTTGCACAACATATATGCTAGTAACAAGCTAACTGTATATCAAACATGATCCTCTATGAAATTTCTAAAAGTAAAACAACAGCAACTGAGAAATTTCATTTAATCTATTAATTGCTCAAATTATTTGGCTAACATCGATTAATTCGATATACCAGATTTTTGTACTGTTTCAGTGACTTAAAGAAATAATTAAAATTTTACATTGTAATGAAAGTAACAACAAATAGCTGAACTATTCGTTTAAAAAAAATGTTTTAAACTGTTTCAGTTAATTGTAATGATTTATCACAAATTATGAGACAAATCATAAAATAATAAAATAATACTTGAGTTATAGGAGGAATTTAATTTATTTTGTTAATTTCTGCAAATTGTGCAATTTTGAAATTCTTAGACATCACATACTGATATATCAATTTTGCTGCATTATTCCAAGGTCATTTTTTTCAAGTGAAATTAATTCTTTAAACATTGGGTTACTCAAAGGTAATTATTTCTAATGATTAATTTAGATTAGTTATTGAAAAGAATTTTTCTTAAATTTATGAATATTTATTGCAAACAGAACATACATTTAAATATCTAATTTAAGAACATTTATTAATGTCTTCCGAAAGGTCATTCGCAACTTGCATACAAACCCACGTAGTCCTAACTACTCTCAATCTTTGCTTATACTATTTCAAGACATTCTCTCAATCTTTTATCTCACTGTCTCGTATTTCTACCATCCTCTCATATCTCTTGAAATAAACAATATTTCTCATCTTCAACAAATTCTATTAACATATTTGTCTGTACAATGCCACACTACAACGCTTATGTTTTACTGCTATTTGCGTGATCGGAGTAGTATTTAAGTCACGTACGTGATTATAATGTATCCCATTTATTTCTTTAAAAAAAAAAAAAAAACTTGTTATTTGAAACTTATTATGTCCATTTGTTTTACTAGTGCTATTAAATCTCATGACCACTTTCAATTATTACTAGCATGCATTTAATGGTTCTTCAGCAGAACAAAACTTAGAATAATCCCACGTTTCTTCTTTTACGTAAAATGATGGAATATTTAAATGTTTTTGTTCTTTTTTTTTCATAATGTTTTTATTTTTTTTTTTTCATAGCATTTCCTTAAATGAATTTTTTTTTAAAATTTTGGGGACAAAGGAGTAGAAAAAAAAAAAAAAAACGAAACAAAAGGATGTCGGACGTTTCCCCACCAAAAAAAGAAAAAAGACTTTTAAATGATTTATATGAGGCAATCGGAAAAAACATTCTCTCTACAATATCAAATATAACCGTTCCATTTTAATTGAAAAGAAAAAATATTTTCCAACACTTTTCTACGTTTTGAAAAAAGAAAAAAAAATCTAATTTTAAAATAAGAAAAAAAGAAGCACATTAAAGAACAGTGGTTCATGTCAAAGATTTGGAGTAAATGTGTTAAATGGAAAATAAATGTAAAAAATAAAAGTGCAAAAATTTCAAAACAAATTTAATTTCATTCTTTTATTAACTCTTTTAATCTCCTTGAAAATCAGAAATGAGAAAATAAAATGATACGATAGTTTTGTTTGCTTGTTATCATTACAGTAGTATCCATCAACAATAAACATAAGACTGAAATTCACGTAATGAAAAGTGATAACAGTTTTCACTGAAAGCGACTGAAGATTTGAGATTCAAAATTATGCCTTCTGAACTTCTTTAGAGGATGTTCTTTTATCAAGTTTATTCTTTCATCAAAAAATATTTTTGTATAGACACAATGATTACTTATGAGTTAAAAACATAGTCGATTTAAATGTGTGCACAATCAGGTGAAATTCAGAAATTTTCACTATTTGTGTGTACCTTACAGATGCATTCTTTAAGCTGTTAAATATACCTTAATCCACTTGGAAAACCGGGGATTACTGATAAGATCATAGTTGAGAAGCTAAGAAGCATAGATATAAAAGTTAAATTTAAGATACAAAAGAGAAAAAAAAAAAAAAGGATTTACAGTAATATTTGAACAGCAATATTTGAAACGCTTTAAAAACGAAAAATCAAAAATGACAGCAAAAATGAAAGGTGATACACAAAGCTCTAATAGAAGAGGCCGAAAATTACACCAACATTCCTTATAATAACTTCAAAGCTACGGACTTCATTATTATACATTTGACGTAATAGAAAAAAAAAAGATGGATAGCTTCTTTTGTATAGAAAAGTCGCATAAACAACGGAAAAATAATTTGAATAAAAAATTTCTTTCAATAATAATTTTTTTCTTTTTTTTTAAAAAAAAATAAACAAAAATTAAAAAAAAAAAAATTAAGGAGTAATAGGGTTAACGGCAAATAATAATTGAGAAGCTTCATGCTAACATTGTGATTCATGTTTCACTTCAATCTTTTCAACTGTCATATCTGGATTCATATTAGTCGCTTCCAAAATTGCTTGAGTCAGTTCCTGCAAAATGTTTTCTGTTCTTCTCCATTAATCTCTTTAGTAATTTAATGAATTCATACAATAACGAAAGTATATTTCTTATGAATCAAATATGCAAGCCCGATAATAACTATGATCTATGCACAATGATATATTGTATTGAAAATATTACTCATTTCAAAAGTAAAAAATGTGAAAAAAGCAACTGTAATACCATTCGGCTGAATACTACTCTAAGTGGGCGATTTTTTACTTCAAAGTTATCATATTAAGAGCACATCAAAAATATTTCGCACCATAATTATACTTATCAAGAAATTTAAGTGAACTTACGGCATCATGATCAATATCATCACACGAATGAATAGTCACGCGATGTTCAACGTGAGTTTCGACGGTACCATTTTTCTCAGTCTTATACTAAAAGTGTATCCAAATAATTCTTCGAATTAGGAAATAAGCAGTGCATACATATATATCAGACATTAAGTATGAAACGCATGATTTGATGTCAATCCTTAATATTCAATGAAGTTTTTGAAATTAAAAAAAAAGAAAATCTATTATCTAGCAAATTGTTGATGAAAAAGATGATGTTCTGTAAGAAAACAATTTTTTGGAAAATTGTTTGAAGAATTAGAAAAAACAAAACAAAACAAAATCATTCTCCAAACTATTAAAAAAAAAAAAAAAACTTTACAGTTATCGTTTCGATGGTACGATTGCCTTGTGTAACAGTATGACTGGAAACTAATTCCCCTGGAATATCCGAATAATCATTCCCATTAATTTTGTCGATATCATTCGCTGGTTCACAAGTGAGTTTATTATCAACTGTCTCAACAATCGGTGCTTGTAAACTTGTCATATTCTCATTACCATTAAGTGCAAATAACTTCTTAGATGCGTCAATCACACTTATATCCTGCAGAAAGAACAAAGTTAAACACTCTGCTTCGTCAAGTTTATTATGTAATGGCTTAAGTATGCATTTATTCTATTCTACACACATTTTGATTATCATAAAACATTATCTATAAAGGTAGAGATATTATGATCTAAAAGTACTATAGATAGAAACATAATCTTTCGATGATTTATTTATGAACGAGAACACAGAAGTTCAGAATGATAGATCATTTAGCTAGAAATGGAATGACAGTAGAAATGATCCTTTATTCATATATAGAAATTAACTAATTCTGCATGAAATAAAAATTTTATTTCAATAGATGCGGTTCTAAAATAATTTTCAAATGAGTAAATGTAAATCATTTACCAAAAACTAAGGCGAAATTTATTAATGTTGCAAGCTATCAAAAAATCTTACAAAATCTCCATTTTGACTCGAAGCATTAGAAGCTTGATATGCTTGCTGGTGCATAGTGTGTGTCATTTGTTGCTTCTTAATAGTCTTCCTGCAACACAAACAATCTGAATATATAAATTTTCCTAGAAGATTACATATTAGAAACATTTTAACACCAATAACACTATCAAAACTCTTTCAACTATTTTGTGGAAAATATTAATTTCGGTATCACAATTAACCATGCAAACAAACTGAATGCTTGTATTTTGAAATTCTAAACATTCATTCAAACTAACTCATTCAAACTTTAGAAAAAATCTGAAGGTTTTAAAAAATTGTTTCAAAAAGAAAGAGAGTAGTAAATTTCTATAAAATTCTCGGTTTGGGAATAACTGGAACAAACTTAGTAATATTTCCCTGATGATCAACAGTAGTGACCACTGTCTTAGGATCATTCATTGTTTCTTGCCACATTTCAACGCATGTATAAGGAAGCGAAACATCCTATAACAAATAAAATGAAACATAAAATATTTAAAATAACTGTAAAACACTGAAAACTGTTTCAAATGTTTCAAAATGTTTCAAAGTGCAGGAATTAGTAAAGAAATGCATAAAGGAAAACTGTAAGATATATCAAAAAGTTTGGAATTTTTAGGAGCTTTTAAATCTCAATCTCACTCAGTTATGAATTTACTTCAGTATTTCACGCCACCTAAAGTAAGAGGGAAACGAAATCAATTTTGTATTAAAAAGCATGAAGAATATTCGAACATTCCACCTAGAAAAATCTTAGGTTTTCATTTTCAAAATGAATTATTTAAGGGAAATTAACAAAAAAAGAAAAAAAAAAAGACAAAGCAACAAATAATTCCTAAATATAATGAATAACTTTTCATACACTAATATCTCTTTCACTTAAATCCGTCTTTAAAAAATGGAAAAGTGAATCTATAGCATACATTTCTAGCAGAGCAAAGAA